ACATTGGAGGACAGGTGGCGCAAGTGACAGGAAGGCGGTTGCCCTCCCCTCCCTGGGTCATCTCCCACTTGGCTTCGGATGCAGCCCCCAATCGGACACGAGGACACTGGCGGATCTCATCATGACACCGACGGGCATGCACATCCCCACGCGCGCCAACACCACTATCCCCATCCTCCGGGTCAGAGATGAGCGGTTCGGCCTCAAAGCTGCGGAGAACAGGCAGGGTCTACTCAGCTCGGTGCGACACATGCCCCCCAGGGGCACCGCTCCTAGTCTGGAAGATTGGAGCACCTCCCCTGGGCTGCTTCATGGAAGCCAAAGGAAGGAGTGGGTGTTCCCGAGCAAGCCGGGCTGCCTCCCATCGAGCGGCGAGCCATAGCCTGGTGGGAGCGCGACTGGAACGCCACGTGGTGCTGCCGGCGGTGCCTGGTCACCATCTGGAACATCGGGCCCGCGACCCTGGACCACATCATTGGGAGAGACTACAGGGCACTTTATCCAGCTGAGGCCCCTGTCCTGCCAACGCTCAATGGCCAGATTGGGGCGGATGCGCCAGTGGATATTCTCAGCACCCTGGATGGGCGCTGACGCCAAGGCCCCAGATCGCTTCACCATGACAGGAGCGGCCAACCTCCCTGGGTCCAGCGCCTCTGGAACAGCTGCTCCCGTGGCCGAGCAGGCCCCCAGGGCTCTCTCGCAGCTCATGGCCAGTCCCTCAGTGGCCGCTCCTGGACAGCAGGGACGTCACCGACCCCACGCTCAGGTCAGACAACCCCAGGAGTGGGTCTGGCAACGGAGACGTGGTCGTTCAGCAGCTCCTCGTGACCTGCCTCCGGGACTTCCACCCTGGATTGGACTACATTTGGCGGCAGTTCTGTCACGGCCATTGCGATGATAACATCCCAGAGCCTAAAAACGAAGAAGCCTCTTGGCCAGGCAGTCGGTCGACGAGGTTTCTCAGGGCGGCGTGCGGCGACAACATCCCGAAGCATTGCTCCCCGCTCAACCAGCCCTGGGCAGGCAAGCGGCTGGCCGCCGCACGAGTCGTCTCCCAGCTCACCAACGGCGAGAAACACAAAGAGGCGTGGGAGCGGCACGTCTCGACCCTCGTCCCGGAGAGTGGCCTCGACCCAGTCAGACACGAGATGGGCACGCTGACGAGCTTCCTGCTCAGCCTCAGTGCCGACGCCCTGGCCTCGACAACCATCGCCTCCCGGCGGAGTCGCACGTGCAGGCCATGAGCGGGGACATGCACGGCAGCGCGGCAGGGCGCCCTCCGGCGCAGTGGCTGGGCCCCAAGCTCGAAGCTCCAGCAAGACCCGAGGGAGACACCTCTACAGCGGTTGGTGCAGACAACTCCCCGGGTACGAAGGACGCCGAAATGGGCGCTGGAGACGCGAAGGTGCCTGGCCTAGCTGCCAAAGGGGAGGACGACAAAGACGAGGTTCCTGCTACTGAGCGAGCGGATTCGGCCGACTTTTGGAAGCCCCCACGAGCCTCCTCCCCCTGATGACTGCGCGGACCCGGCCGCTGGCCCCGCTGAAGATGACGGCCCTGGCGCCAGGCCGCTACAGCAAAGCCCAACGGCAGAGCGCATGGAACCCAGCTCCGACGACGACCCCTTGGCCGCCTGGGGTCGACCAGCCACCACCGAGCAGAACGCCAGTGGTTCCAGCGGGCCAGGACAAGATGAAGCCGCGCGAGAGAGAGGCACAGCGCAGGACCGCCGCCCACCACTACGCAACCCACAGACCAGACCGCAGGCTTGCCTACTCTGGCGCAGCGGGACGACACGCTCTCAACCAGCTGACCGACGCCCACGGAGGCCCCATGTACAAGGCCTGGTTGGGTTCCGTGGACTTGGAGCGCCGCGGAGATACGCCCGCCAAGCACATCACCAGACACCAACTGGACTCGGGTGGAGTATTCTGCGCCCTTTGGTCGGCCTACACAAAAGGCATCCGGATCCCTGGGCGCAAGGATCCCGAGTCAGACCCGAAGCTGCACACGGACGAGAACATCAACAAGTTCTTGGATGACTGGAAGCGCTGTGGATACGACGCCTACGCGATGGACAAGAAGTAAAACTTCCGCATCGACTGGGCAACGGTACGGCCCGAATACATGCGCCACACCAGGACCGACGGCACGGGCAAGGGCAGCCACCAGCAGAGCAGCTGGTATGACCGGGCTGGGAGTTCCTGGGACGCCTGGGACAACTGGCAGTGTGGCTGGAGCTCTGGCTGGCACGACGACCAGTGGCAGTCAGGAGGCAAGCGTGGTGGCGGCAGGCCAGACGATCGTGGCGAGAAGACAACGGCGGGGCGACTGAGCCCCCCCCATCCACAAGAGATTCAGGTGCAGCGTCCGATTTCCACACTCTGTGCAGCCTTCAGCTGCTTCCCTGGGTTACGTTTCATATACTCGTGTGGCGGCCTTCAACCGCCCTCCCTGGTACGCGCACTTCCTGCCTTTGGACCCAAGTGTGTTTACCAGCAATACCGTCTGCATGACTGCGCTGGGGCGTGTTGCGTGCAGGCCATAGTTGGCCCCTGGCCCCGCGGTAGTTGTTTTCACCTCTGGCCCTGTCGGACTTCGCCCCCCGGCCTCGCGGCTCTGTGACCGACGCAAAGATGGCTTCGCCTCGTCACTGTCCAGAACCGCACTCTCACTCCCTGGGCTTCTTTAAGGTACAGCGGCCTTCAGCTGCTCTTCTCTGCTATTCCCTGGGAGCGACCTTGGGCGGGCGGCGTCCCGACAGCGGGTTTCGAACGCGTGACCAGATGATGCACTTCTGAGCCGTTGAGGTACGCCTCCGGCACGGTGGCGCGGCGTGCCCACCCGTAAGGACGTTGTTGCCGCCCCCGGGCGCAGGGGCGCAGTTGCGCACCCACTTGCGCGGACCGGCCACAGTGTCGCCGCGGATGGTCAGCGGACTGAGCCTATACCTGTGCCTAGTGCGTACGCCTGCTTCCTTTGTTGGCCGCCAGTTCCTGTTGCCCGGAGTGGCATCATCCCATCGTCGCTCCCCCGCTCTACCTGGATGAGCGGCCCTTAGCTCCCTGGGCTTCTTCGCGACCGCTGGTTGTTGCTTCGGCTGCAGCTGGTAAACGGCAGCGCAGCTTTCCCAGAGCGCCATCTTCTTACATTTCACTCTGGTACGCCAGGGTACCAAGGATAGGCGTGGCTCTGTGTATGCTTGTCACGTTAGATGCTCCCTGGTACGCGTTCCTGCTCTTATATTTGGTTGCTGGTCGCCTGCGACTTGTGCCTGGTAGAAGATTGGGACAGTTGTACCTTCCGCATAGCGTCACATCATGTTAGCTGATGGCTCGCTTGCGAACGCATCTCTGTTCGAGGTTGTCTTCCCGGGCCTGACGTGCCTTGTTCGGTTACAGACACCACGAATTTCGCGCCTTTTGGCTGCGTTGGTGCGCACTCTGAAGCTGCGACGGTTCGCTGGCGCTGTCAGAGTCCAACCTCTCCGTACGGTATGCAGTCAGGCGACTGCTTGCGCGTCTCTCGGACGCTTCTGCTTGAGCATGGTTCAGACACCCTGGGACCCTATGGTACGCCATTCGCTGCGCCGAGGTTGGCAGACTCCCTACTGTTCTGATAGTGTACCCAAGCGGCGTACTGCTTGGCCATGGCTTCAGACACCTTGGGGTTATTTGCATCGTGCCATTCTGGCAGCGTAGTTACAGACTCCCTGGGTGCTGGTCCCTGGGCGTCAGACCCTGGGTTGCAGCACCCTTGCACCCGCCGCCCCGGCGCCGGCCGCGGCCCGCGCGCGCGTCCGGCCAATTAGTTTCGGCCGCAGCCCGACCGTTACTCGCCGCCGCTGGCGCTTCCGCCCGCGGCTGTAAAACAAAAAACAAAAACACCGACCCTTTCGTCACCTGTGTGGCCCTTTATTCCGCGCTACACTTGCGACAGCAGGGCTTGCGCTTCTTCGTCGATTTCTTTCTGATGGCGCGCGGCTGACCGCGTCGCTCGCGAGCAAAGCTACCCCCTTCGACTTGTGACGGCGCGCGGCTCTCCCGCTTGCGCTCGCGAGCAAAAAAGGAACCCCACCGACCCATCCAGAAACGATGCCCAGGCGAATTGCCTTGATCAGGGATGTGGAGGAGCATGCAGTTGAATGAAGGGCTGGGTAGGAGATCTTACCTCCAGAGGGGGCGCATGGAGGAGGAATCGGAGTTCAGGAGGAGGTGGAGGAGTCGGGAGAGTTGGAGGGGGAAGAGGGAGGAATGAGGAGGAATAGGCGGATGAGGAGGAGGAGGAGGAGGAGGAGGAGGAGGAGGAGGAGGAGGAGGAGGAGGAGGAGGAGGAGGAGGGCGAGTACAAGGGATAGAAGGGGCCTTTTGGGGCCTCTTGGGGGCCTCTTGGGGCCTCCTGAGGGCCTCTTGCGGCTAAGGCTGGACTTTTCGGTTTCTGGTTCCCTTCTTGGGCCCCTCGTTGGACAGTTTTGGGGCTCTCTTGGACCGTCTTGGGCGTTTCTTGAGCTGTCTTGGGGCCATTTTGGGCCGTCTTGGGGCGGTCTTGGACGCTTTGTGGGCCGTCTTGGGGCGGTTTTGGAAGCCTCTTGGGCCGTCTTGGAGCGCCGGTAAGCCGAAAAGGCGAGAACGCCAAAAACCGTCAGAACCTCCAGCAAAATTCAAAGTTTCTGCCTCTGTGGGCTCTCTTGGGAGACCTCTTGGAGGCCTCTTGGGGCGTCTTGGAGACCACTTGAATACTTGAAGCGCTCCTGGAGCGCTCTTGGGAGTCTGCTGGGACCTGGCCAGGACTTGCGGGGGTACTTTTCGTCCGGGGACCCCGGGGTGGCCCCTCGCGTAGAAATTGTGTTAACCAGTTACCAGAGATCTTAGCACGCCCTTGGCCCGTTGGGCCGGCGAATTCCGAGAGTTTCTTGGAGTCCTTTCTGAATGTTTTGGGAGTTTTTTGGCAGTCCCAGGGGCCTCTTAGTGGTTATATCGTAATCTCGTGTTGCCCTCGAGGACAACAACTTCGAGCTGATCCGCGAGACAGAGAACACCGTCTTGCGCATCAGAAGCGAAGAGCAGGCGTATGTCAAGCCAGGCACCCGGGGCTCTCTGAGGCGATCTCGGGCGGAGTCGTCCAGGCTGTCCGCTTCGGCCAGCGCGGATGCTGCACCTTGGGAGGCACCATTGGTGGATTGCTTGACCTTCCAGTCCAGCCTCGAGGCGCGCGCGTGGATGGATCTCGCAGCCTCGGTGTATGCAGGGGGCGAGGCTGCGAGGAGGCTGTGCGACAGGGTGGCCAGACATGCCGCGGCCACGGAGGCGAGCATCAGGTCTGAGCTTGGTCGGGCCAATACTTAAGTCGGGCATGTCCCTCTACAGGAGGAATATTCAAACATAGTCCAAAAATAGTCTGGCGACGATTGTTTGAATATTATTGGCTATTTTGGAAGCATGTTTGACTATTTGTTACTTCTCGTCCAAAATCCGCCTGTAGGAGGGACATGTCCGACTTAAGCCAATACGTCTCTCATGGTCAAGAGCGAGCACGTAGCACAGTTCGCCGAGGGCCCGACGCCCATGGACCCGCAGGCGGTGCGGGCGCGAGAGCACATCCAGAACGAGGGCGACGAGGTGGCGAGGCTGCTCAGAATGCAGGCGAACATGCAGATGCCGGACGACTTCGTCGCCTCGGGCTCCATGGTGATTGTGAGTTGATAGTTGTTGGATGGTTCTCGACAGTAGCGGCACCGTGCGCGGGGAAGGGACCATGGCCGATTTCTGTGCCAGTGCCGTGCGCACCATGACTCTGCGCTCCGGAATGTGTTTTTTGCAGGCCCGCCTGCCGCTTTGCAAGTTTACAATTCGCCCACTGGGAGCTCGGAAGGGTGGGGGATCTGCGACCAATTGCGAACCCTACCCCCGCAGGTCCAATCGGCGCTGGAGTATGAGACGCGCCCGCTGGGGTTCATTTAGCTTCACACGTCCGTTGAAAACTGAACCCCAGCCAGCATTTCAGGCATCCGACCTACAGGGGAAGGGTTTGCATGTGGTTACCCAGTTGAGGGAGCCTGGTTGTGTACAGCAATTTTGATTGCGTTCGGAGGCACAGGAAGGACGGAGGAGGGTGAGGAAGAGGGGGCTCCCGCGCGGCCGCGCGCTTCAGAAGCAGTGCAGCCTGTGCGGGCACGCTCGGCCGCCTGATGGCCACAGGGCCACCGATTTCCGTTGTTGCCGCGTGCGTCCGCGGTGGCGCCCCTAATTGGGAAGGCCTCCGAGCTCGTCTTTTTGTCGTGCTGTCGCAATTGCGACGCGCTCCGCCTCAGAGCTCCTGGACGCGTTCACCTGTTCTTTTCGGCGAGATCGAGGCACGCCCCCGTCCCCATTTTGTTCTCTCGGGGTTATTGCCTGGAAGTGTTCCGATCCGCCGTGCGACTGAGGAGTAGCAGCAGGAACATCAGACGATCGATAAGATCCAGTCGTATATTTGCGAGATGCTGCCAGGCCAGCATATTGCTTCCATTCTGCATTTGGGAATTCGATCATCTGTGCTGCCGCCTCATACGCCCCCTGTCGACAGCAGCAGAATACAAAAAGCATTGCGCAATATCCCTGGTCTCCTCCACGATTGGGGGCGGTATGCGGATGATGGCCAGGCGGTGACGAGGGAGGCAGGCAGAGGGGGCCCCGTGACTATTCCGTATAGGCAGCTCCTCGTCACGCATCGCGAGGGCGTTTCGCCCACAGACGTTCCGCAAATGGCCCAGCTTTGGAGAGCAAGCGCAGTTACATGGATGGAGGAGGGTTTGTTCTCCAACATGTGGAGCTCGCCCTGGCGCCGCTCAAATTCGCATTCAAGTGTCGAGAGTCACACTGATGGGGGAGGGTGGTGTTCAAAGCGTGGTGCTCGCTCTAGCGGCGCAGGCGCACATGTGTCCAAACTCTAAGTTCCCGATATTCGTACGGATGCAGGGCGGTTCTTTTTCAAAGCGTGGTTCTTCTTGCTCTTAAGCTGCGTACATCCGTCTTTAACGTTGTTGACATATTGATGGGAAGAAGGTGGGTATTTTTCCATGTATGGGTCACGCGCCGATACATACATATTTACAGTTGTATATATATATATAAAAATAGAGAGAGAAAGAGGGAGAGATTAAACAATCCGTGCGGAGTTATGGTGCTTTTTTTCGGAGGTCGACTACCGAAGGCTGCAGGAAAGTCATCCTGAAGAGGCCCTGGGCGGCTCCTGACTTGCAGCCGCGGGCCCAAAAGGTTTTGGAGAGGTGCGTCTGGGGGGTGGGGTCTTCCGTGTCTGGGTCACGTTTTGTTTTGCTTGCCCTCTGTTTCGTGCAAGTTTTCGCAATCGATTTCTCGACCCCGACCCCTGACTTTACACGGAAGATCAAGCCACTGAGCCCCAGATTCGCCCCAATAGGGCTAGTCGGACGCACGCCTTATCGAGGATGGGCGCCCCCCTATCGTTCATCCCTGAGTTGGGCCCCAAAGTCTTGGTCCGACGCCTTAGTCCATTCGAGAAGCCACGAAGTCGCGGACAGGGGTCGACATAGTGGCAGGCGTTTTTTGCTCCCCCGTCCCCCCCCTGTGTGTGAAGTCCGCTCCGCTCATATCCCCACTATATCATCACACACCACAGCTGTATCGGCTCAGGTATTGGCACTAACGCTGACAGTGCACTACCCCCTGCGCAGTGCCTTGCAAAAGGCGTCTTCCTCCATGCCTCTACCTACGGACCCCGTATAGGAACGGCTCCTCGGTCGTCCCCCTATACACACACACACCTTGGCAGCAAGCGCGCCCGAGACCACTGGAGCGACGCCAGACAACGGAGTCGTCTTTGCCGGCGCTGGCGCGCAAGCTGCCCGCGCGCAAGCGCCCTCGCTTGCAGAGCAGTCGCCGCGCTGGCGGCCCGCCTGCGTTGCGGCGCAGGGCCGCTGCGTCATCTCGCGCAAGACCCTCGCCGGGCGCGTTCCACTACAGTCGGGGCGCTGAAGAAGGAACCCTTTTCGTTTGGGAGGGGCTCGGTGTTCTGGTTGTTTAACCGTTTGCTTCAGGTTTCCTCAGGTATCCCATGGGAGATCGGAGTTGATCTCGTGGGAAAAAAGGGGCCTCGTTCCTTATTTAGGGATCCTGAGGTCAACACCCCGACTGTACTCGCAAAGTGCCTACTCGCAAACGCCCGAAACTCATGTATGTAATTTTAGTAGATCCCCCCGGATCCAGGCCATTTGCGAGTAGTCACTTTGCGAGTGGTGGAACGCGCTCGTCTAGACCCGTGTCTGTGCGTCGCTCACCTGGAGGGTTCCCGAGGGCGAGAGTCGATCACCTGCAAGAGTGACCGTTCGCCGGAGTGACCTCTGGTGCGGGCCCATTGGGGTCCCCCCGCCGCCGAGCGCGATTGCGGTAGTGACTCTTTTGGAGCATGCTTTGGCTATTGTTCTCTGCTCTTCCAGGACCCGCCTGCAGGATGACATGCCCGGCCGAAGCGCAGACCTCCCCGTCGAGGCCTCGAGGGCCGAAGCCAAGGCTCCTCGGGGAACCGTGGGGCTCGAGCTCGCCAGGCGGGCCCCTCTCGAATTTCGACGGGCCGTTCCTGCATCCTGATGCGGCCCCCCAGGGATCCGACGCTCCGAAAAGTATTGGAGCGGCTGGTTTCTGGCCGTTTTCGGCATCCGGGGGTCCTGGCCAGGCCTCGGGAGCGTCAACAGAACGATTCAGGGCGAAAGACCGGGGCCGTGGGGAAGTGGAGGTCCGGACCTCTGGGGCCGACGCATCGATACAATTGGAGCGGCCAGATGTATGGGTCCCCAGTGCTTCTGCACGGACCCAGCCGCCCCGAGTTTTCACGGTCCCGTTTTAGTGGTGTGTGTGTGTGTGTGTTGTGTTGTGTTGTGTTGTGTGGTTTGGTTTGGTGTGGTGTGGTGTGGTGTGGTGTGGTGTGGTGTGGTAGGGTGGTGTGTGGTGTGGTGTGTTGTGTTGTGTGCGTGTGCGTGTGCGTGTGCGAGTGCGAGTGCGTCTGCGTGTGCGTCTGCGTCTGCGTGTGCGTGTGCGTGTGCGTGTGCGCGTGCGCGTGCGCGTGCGCGTGCGCGTGCGCGTGCGCGTGCGCGTGCGCGTGCGTGTGCGCGTGCGCGTGCGCGTGCGCGTGCGCGTGCGCGTGCGTGTGTGTGTGTGTGTGTGTGTGTGTGTGTGTGTGTGTGTGTGCTTCTCCATTCACCCAAGCCTCGCTGCCGAGATAATGATGGTGATGAGGACGACTACGACGATTATTCTGGTGGTGGTGATGACAGCTATGGTGATGCTAACGGTGATGGTCATGTTGATTGTCATGGTGATGTTGATGATGAAGATGTTGATTGTGGTGATGGAAATGGCGATGATGATGGTGATGGTGATAGTGATCATGGTGATGATGGCGATGGTGGTGATGCTGGTGGTGACGACGATGGCAATGACGATGATGCTGACGATGCTGCTGCTGGTGGTGGTGATGGTGGTGATGGTGGTGATGATGATGTTGATGATCATGGTGATGATTATGATGACGATGGTGATGACGATGGTTTTGGTCTCCTGTTGGAGGCATGGACGAGGGAACCGCCGAGCACCATCGTCAGGGGCCACGTCGTGGGGTTGTCGGCTCGGGGGGCGGGCACTGACCCCGCCTCGCTCATCGACTGCCGACAAGTGCCCCACGGTGGGGCCCCTGCAGCCCACCCCGCCCAGGACCGGGTCGGCGATGTGCCGCCGACTCCACGCCGATAGTGCCGCCTCGGACCAGGGCCCCCCCTGACGCTGCCCCTCGGCCTGCGGGTCGCGGCCAGGCTCTCCGGCGGCATGCCGCGGCGTTCCGGGCCCCCACCCGAACGCCTTCGGCGATGCGCAGCCGCTGGAAGGCACCCCGAGGCTGGACACCCGCCGAGAACCCACAAACGGCCTCGAGCCTCGAGCCTCATACCCAAAGGTTGCCCCTCAGAGGCTGCCCCTCCTCACCGAGCCGGTTCCACTACTCGCAGAGTGCCTGTTCGCGAGCGTCTGGAAAAAGCAGATGCTCGCCTCGATGTAGTCGATCGCAAACCCATGTAGGTCCTCCGCGGCGAATCCATGCCATTTGCGAGTAGTTACCCTTGCGTGCAGTGCAACGCGCTCGTCTACCTCCGAGCCAGTCCCCAGCATCCGGGGGCGGGAGCACGGGTGCTGGAGTCCGCGCCTCTGGCGGCCGGCGCTGCCGCAGGAGCGGGAGCGCGCCTGGCTCCCCCGCTTTGGGCGGAGGCCGCTGCCCCACCGTCCGCCACGCGCAGAGAGGGGCAGGTTCGGTAGCAAGTCATTCAGGAGGGAAAGAGACACACAGACACAATTAATCCTCCATTCTCCAAAAAGTATGGAAAATATGGGAAGTGGTGGGGAAGACAAAAACCCAGAAAATATGGGAGAATATGGAGAATCTTTTTATTTGTGTGTATTTATTTGTGTGTCCCAGGGCCCCTTCAGTCATGGGAGCCTGGCACAGGACTGGACCTGAACGCTGTTCTGCTGGACTTCGGCTGCTTGTTTGTTTTTCGTGTTGGCAGGGAGGTAGAGGAAAACAGGTAGAGCAAAACGAACAACAAAGCGAGAACAAACAGAAAAACAACGTTCAGGTCTGGCCCTTGCCTGGTATACCCTTTTGGTTCTGTCAGTTGCGTCGATTAGCGTCGGTTAGCGTCTGGGAGTCGGTGGGATAGCGCCGATTTAGCGTCGGATAGTGTCGATTCAGCGTCGGTTTTGCGTCGATGAGAGCCGACCAGCGTCGATCAGCGTCGATCCGCCAGAGCGGACAGGAGGTATGGGAGGCTCCCATGAGTTGCCACCGGCCGGCAGGGGGAGGGGGGAAGGCTTCGTAGAAACACCACTGCTGCTCAGAAAGCGCGGGCACTGTCTGCAGATGTGAGGCCGGCGCGCTTTCAGAGGCAGCCTCCTCCGAAGAAGCATTCCCCCGCCCCCTCCCCCCTGCGCGCGCCGCCGAGCCCCCCCCCCTTCCCCGTGCCGAGAGGCCGCGGCAGGGCTCTCGAGCCCTGCCGCAAGGCTCGGTAGGATCGGTACGATCGGCATGCGATGCAACTGTTCAGACGAGGCGGTTTTGCCTCGCTTCGGGTCCCGGGACTCTCACAGATCGATCCCGCTCGAAGAGTGGGGCAAAAATATGGGGTCTAGGGCTCCGGTTGCGATTTTCATGGAGTTGCAATGCTCTGGCAACGTCGGAGCTCGGGGTGGGTGCGAAGTTCGAACGAAACGTCAGGAGAGGGAGTGTACCGATACAGCTGTGTGCAGTAGGTTGGCGTGGCGTTGGCGCGCCGGCAGCGCTGGCGACGGCGTTCAAGGTTGAATTCAGCGACGCAGAAGGGCCGAGGAGCACGGTCGAGTCAAGCCACTGGACCGACGGAATTTAATTTTGAGCGAGCGGGGCTGCGATCGATTCAAGGTTGAACGATCGACGCGGTGTGACAAACCGTTGCGCATGTCGACGTTGCGCGAATCTACCGCACCGAGCCCTCTCGTTGCCACGGCTGGATTCTCCTCGGGAGAGGTCCGGGGAGGAGTGCTACCGGCATCTTCGTGGCCCCCCCCGAGCGAATCGGTACGGAGACCCGCAGCAGTTCCTGCCCGTGTTTCGGGTGTTGCTAGCATCGCCGAGCGCGTTCCACTACTCGCAAAGTGCCTACTCGCAGACGTCCGACAAAAAAAACATGTCTGCTGTTATGTAATTTATCGTGGATCGACCGCGGGGGATCCAGGCCGTTTGCGAGTAGTGACTTTGCGAGTAGTGGAACGCGCTCGTCTGCAGAAGTGCCCCTGGCCCAAGGTGCCACCAGGATGTCCAAAGAGCCCGCCACGGCCTCCAGAGCACCCCATCACGCGGCCCAGGAGGCCCAGGGGCTCCACCATTGGGCGGAAAATTGGGGGCACCTGTGGCCAGGGGCACCTCCAGCACCCCCCCGAATCTTGAAGAGGACTCGCAGTCGGCGTCGCCGCGGACGTGGTCCGTTCCAGACGGCAAATCGCCTACCCGAGACAGCGGCCGCTGTCGCTTTTGTTCCGCATTTGCCCGCTTGTGTCTCACCCGTTTTGGGCGGGCCAACCACCGATCCCCATCCCCACTGGGCTGGTGTATACCAGCCCAACCAATTCACGTCCGAAGGTGGGGATAAGTCCCACGTGACCCGAGTGAAACAGCATACATCCCCATCTGAGGGAGTAACTTGGCCGGGGACCTGTGGGGCTTCGGTTTGGCTTTCAGCAAAAACAGGCACATTCGGATGACAGGGAGCGGAGCTCACGCTGCCTCTTGGATGGCTTTCTCGTCCCCGAGTGCTCTCGAGCAGGGTCGCCTCGCCGAGTTACCGTTCTGGGGGTACCCCGGGATCGTCCCGAGTGGCCGCCGTAGGCCTGAGCGGCATGCCATGCCAGCAACGGTGGCGCCCTGACTCGCCCGCTCATCGTCCCACTGTCCCTTGGCATCGCTCGGACGTGTGCATGCTTCCTTCGGCGAGGACCATCGAGGAGCATCCTGCATCCTTGATCATTCGGCGAAAAAAACACGCACGAAGCCGAACAAAAACACAGGGAACGGACGTCCGAGCGATGGCCAGCGTTGCATCGGGCCACTGCTCAACAGTCTGGCCTTGCAGCTATCAGATGCTGCGGCAGGTTCGTGTCGTGCCGGCGGCGCGCCCCCGCCGCGGGCGCTCGAGGTGGAACGCCGCCGGAGGCCCAGAATGAGCAAAGATTGGACGATCTGGCGATCGAAGGGCCGCTGATGTTGGAAGCCACTGTCACCACACGAGCCTGTCGTAAGGTTAGCCCCGGAGTTACAAAGGGGGGGAGCGTTCCCGGCGGCGCATGATTCATGATGCTTCCCCCCTCGGCATTGCGACTTCCAGCCGGGGCCGCTGGGCCGTTCACGCACCGGTCGTTCTTGGCCTCAGCGGTCTGTGAATCCAATGGTTGGACACGCGTGAGAAGCCGTCCTCGCCCGCTGCCAGCGTGCCCCCCGGCGGACCTGCCGCCCCCCCCCGCTGCCAGGCGACGACATAGCGGACGACGCGTGCCGCACCGTCATGCCGGAGACTGTGGAGGCTGCGGTGCGGCACCATCGGGGGTCGCGAGGGGAGGGGGGGGCGGAGGCCGGGAGGGCCCGGGGTGGCGGGGGCCAGGCGGAGGGCTGGGAGGAGGGACAAGGGGCAGACGTGAGGAGCAGGATCACGTGCTGTTCCACGAGCAGCAGTGGTAGCGGTGATGGTGGTCGTACGAGTCGTGGTGGAGGAGGAGGAGGAGGAGGAGGAGGAGGAGGAGGTGATGTGGCTTAGGAGGAGGAGGAGGAGGAGGAGGAGGGAGGAGGAGCGAGGAGGAGTGAGGAGGGAACAGGAGGGAGTAGCTAGCAGGGGGGATGGAAGAAGGAGCAGGAAGGGAGGGAGGGAAGGAAGGAGCTGGAAGGAGGACAGGTGCGTCAAGACCTGAACTTGGCTTGGGGGGAGGGGGGGACAGGGGCGGGGAGGCAGGGAGGAAATGAGGATGCAAGAGACGATAGGAAGAGGAGCGGGACGGGGGCGGACGGAGGGCCTGAGGGAGGAGCGGAACCAAGGTTGAGCAGGGACGCTGCTTGGCTGCCGGAGCATCCGCCATGGCGTCGGAAACTCAGGGCAAGGCAGCGCTCTGCAGCTCGCGAGAGGACCTGTGGGCGTTGCGCTGGCACCCCGGTGGCATGCTGAAGCTCAGCGGCAGTGCCGCTCACGCTGCGGTCCTGCAGCTCACACTGCGGCACCGCCGCTCACAATGCGGCGCTGCCACCTTTACTGCGGCATCTGCGTCAATGCCGCCGCACCGTGCTGCCGCTGCACCGTGCTGCTGCGGGACGTCGCAGCGGGTCGGAGATTGCCACAATGGTTCGTTGCGTGTGGTCGGTTTCGCGCGTGCGGACCCGCTTGAGCATCGGAATACGTGGCGCGGGCGCAGCTTCCCTCTGTACGTTTCGAACGGGACCTTAGGGCAGATCCCAAGCGGAGGGCGTGGGCTGTCATGATTTGGGCGGTAATGCCACGGGCTTCAGGCGGGGGATTAGAGGTACGGTTTCGGCGGCGCGCCCAGAGGGAAGGGAAGAGGCGGCGGGCCTGCCAAGAGGGCTCAGGAGGCATCCAGCCTTCTGAGAGGCCCTCTGGGCCTTCCCTGAAACCGTGCGGGGCTTTCAGAGGGCCCGAGGGATGCTGAGAAACCCTGCCTCCCTGGCTGGTCGCTTCCCCCCTCGGCGCGCCGCCGACGTCCGGCGCCGCGGCCGAAGTGCCCGAGCGCTGAGCGCAGCACAGCGCCCTCACAGGACGGAGGCGTGCTGACCGCCGGGTCGGGCCACGGGGGTGCCGGGGCTGCGAGTGCTCGTGTCCCGTTGGGCCGGCGCAGTGCGCGTGTGCTGGGCCGGCCGCTCTGCACGGCTCCTGCCCCAGGGCCTGGGCCGCTCCTCAGAGGTGTGGAGGCCTGCACGAGCTGAGCCAGGGGGCGGCCGAGAGGGAGGGTGATGACCATCACCACCCACCAAACCACCTCAACCCAACCCGAAGGCCCAAATTAATCCTCGATTTCCAGTGGGGGGGGGTCGGGGAACATTGAAAAAAACACATGGAACCCGTACCCCCCCCCCCCCCAACCCGAAATTCGGGTCAAATTCGGGTCTTCGGGTTGGGTTAGGGTGGCCTGATAGGCAGTCAGACCAGGGGGGGCCGGGGTCATCGCAGAAGAGGAAGCGCCACAAACATCATCAAGCATCAAGCGCGGTCCACTACTCGCAAGGTGCCGACTCGCGAACGTCCGAGAAAAGCATATGTCTGATGTCATGCAGTTTATTATCGTCGATCCCCCGCGAGGGATCCAGGCCATTGGCCAGGGCTCCCTCGAGGGCGCGAAGTTATTCGCGCTTCGCGCTTCGCGGTCCTCGTTCCTTCTCCCCCTCCTCCTCGTCCTCCTATTCTCCCTTTGGGGGGGCGGCGCGAGAGCGCGAAGTTATTCGCGCTTCGCGCTTCGCGGAGCGCGAAGCGCGAAGTTGGGAGCCCTAGGTAATCGAACGCGCTCGTCTAAAGCAGGATCTGTTGGCGCTCCGCGCGGATCTCTTGGGGCCCGCGCTGGGCCCCTCCCGCGGCGCCTCCGGCGCGCCGCCCCCGGCGCGCTCCGCGCGCCCCGCGGCGTTGATCTGCGTATTCGCATCCTGGCAATTCTCAGGAGGGAAAAAACACAGACACAATTCATCGTCGATTCCCCAGGAAATATTGAAGAAGATGGGAAGTGGGGGGGGAAGAAGACAAAAACAACCAGAAACCATGGGGAAGTATGTGGATTCTGGTTATTTATTTGTGTCTATTTACTCGTGTGTCCCAGTTACCCTTCAAATCTTCATCACCACTGCGTTGGCTCGTGGAAGAGGAGAAAATTCGCAGCCCGACTTCGACCATCCCACGCCGTGCGATCGCCAGAACCGCGACACTTGTTTTCGGTCGTGCTGAATCGTTGGAGTCGGCGCTGGTGGGGCCGCCTGGTCTTCGTGGAAGGGGCCGCCCGTCAGGAAATGTGGGTCAGTGGCTTGGGGTTGGCAACCAGGTGTCGGTGTTCGGCGGCGGTCCTCGTCACTCTCCTGGACCAGCGGCGGGCCAAGATGACACATTTGGTGACGGCGTGGCTGCCATTCTGGCTTGGTCCCGTGATGAAAATACTCACCGATATTGTTAGACAGCGCTCGAAACCATCCAGGCTCCAACCGGAAGAATACACATACGTGCTACAGGTGCATTCCGCGTCCCGCTTGCACTGCACCACGCCGTATTGGCACCAGCCGTAGCAATTCATCGCCACCGAAAGGTGATTAGTAACATCGTCGGTCGGCCGATTCGCAAGTCATACACCAGGTGTTTCGGAGTAATCGCTGCTGACAGGCAGATCGAGCAGACACATCGACAGGGACACCATGATGATCAGAACATGTTCAGCCTCCTGCGTTGCATAATTCAAAAGCAAAACACTACAGCGAGGGGTGTCCCGAGGAATATGTAAGGATGGAAAAGAGAGGAGGAGGAGGAGGAGGAGGAGGAGGAGGAGGAAGAGGAGGAAGAGGTTGAGCAAGAGGATGGGGACGATGACGACGAAAAGGTCGCAGGAGAGGGAGGGCAGGGCTGGACCTAAACGGTGTTTTTTTGTGATTTCGTGGGCCGTTTTCGTTTCGACTTCGTTTTGCGGTAAAGGCGGATTCGAGACAAAAGCCAGGGACAACGAACACACAACGAAAACGAAAAACACCGTTTAGTTTCAGCCCTAGGGAGGGGGGGGAGAAGGTGCAGGGAGGGGGCCAGGGGGGGGGGTATGAGGGGAGAGGATGAGGAAGAGGAGGCTGACGAGGATTGGGACTCGCAGCGGCAGCAAAGGGGATTTTATTACGTTGCTGGCGCATCGATCCTCATGTCCCCGCAGCATTAGAGATGGAGCGGGAGGATGGTGAAAAGGAGGGGGGGAGAGGGAGGAGGCGGTTGCGCGCAGGACTCCCGGGACTGGTTCTTCTCGACTGCGTTGTGGCAGACGGACCTGACGAGGCGCGATGCGCGCGGAGAACACATTTCACTTGCCCTTTCTATCTTGTCATCCTCCTGGCGGCTTCGGCCCCAACCTCTTGCCCCCTCTCTCCCTTTCTACTGTTCTGTTTGCCGTCATTGCCCCGTCTCCCCTCTTCTCCACTGTACTCCTTGCTCCCAACCGCTGCCCCGCCCCACTCATTGTATTGCACGGCTCGTTTCTCCTCGCCCGCCTCTGTGTTGGTGCAGCGACGTCGGTGAAATTTCTGGCTTGCATTTCTATCAGCATCTCTTCTCAGCCCTTTCATCTGCTTCTCTTTCGTCCCTTCGCTGCTAGTTCGTTGCCTCAGTTCTGGTTACGTATCATTCAGCTCCTCGACTTTTCCTGTTTATGTATACAGAGTTCGGTCAACGCATGCCTTATACCTGTCATTCCTTCCCAATTGGACGACCGATGCATTATCTGTCCGTCCCAGGCCCTTCTCGCATGTTCAATTGCGGCCGTGAAGCATCTCGGCGTGCCTTCCCTGGACTGCTCTAGTCGCCCCATGCGCGTGTTCCAGTTGTTTGTAGCCCAGTACGCGCCTTCCCCCCTCCTTTCTGGGAGGAAGTGAGGGAGGGAGACTTGGATTGGCAGGAGAGGAGGTGGAGGAGGAGGGCGCGATACAGGGATGATGGCAGGGGGAAACGAAGCATAGGAGGCAGGAGAAAACAAGATCGACAACAGAAAAGGGAGCGGGGGCAGGAAAAGGCGATCACCGGGGGACGGGGTCTGGAGTGGAGGAAGGACGAAGAGGAGGGGAAGTCAAGGGGCGCAGAGGAGGGAGAGGCGAATGGGGACGGCATGGGGGAAGAACGTGATGAGGCGGGAGGGAGGGAGGGGAGGAGAGGCTAGAAATTGGAAAGGAGCGAGGATTGAGAGCGAAGGAATGGAAGGGCAACAACGGAGCTGGGGTAGAGAGAGGAAGGATGGAGGAGGCGGGCAAGCAGCGGGCTGAGGAGGGGAAGGGGGGAGAGGAGCGGGGTTGGGGCGGAAGGCCCGGGGGGAATTCAGAGGAGAAGGAGGAGGATGACGAGGAGAAAATCGGATCGGATCGGATCGGAAGGGATCGCGAAGGGGCTCCACAGGAGAGTTGCTGCTGGGGACGTGCAGGATGAACAATCTCCCGCAGACCACGAGAAACCAGGAGGAGGAGCAGGAGGAGGAGGGGGAGGAGGGGAAACAGAAGGAAGGAGGTGAAAGGGAACGTGTCGGAGTCGATGTCGGAAGATGGGGCAGCCTGTGAGTCTTGATTTCGTCGCCTCGAGAGACCCAGACCTCCGACGTTGCGTGTTCCCTTGCACAGCATGGGTCGCAAGAGCCAGGTGTCTCTACGCCCCGGGCTGTTCTCGGACGGGTCCCAGGGCCGTGGAGGGCCCCGTGGGGCCGACCACGGAACTCCGCCGCGCGAGGGGGTCTGGGGAAGGGGGCGGTGGGTGCAGGCCGAGGGCAGGGGGCGATGTTGACGATGGTGATGATGAGGAGGAAGAAGAGGAGGAGGTGGTGATGATGGTGATGATGGTGATGGTGATGGTGATGATACTGATGAGAAAGGGGAGGAGGAGCAGGAAGATGATGGTGATGATGATGATGAGGATGAAGATGATGGTGATGATGATGATGTTGGTGATGATGGTGATGGTGATGGTCATGGTGATTGTGATGATGCTGATGATGAACATGATAATGGTGATGCTGATGATGCTTATGATGAGGATGATACTGCTGCTGATGATATTGATGATGCTGCTGATTATGATGATGGTGATGATGGTGATGATGCTGATAATGCTGATACCGACACTGTTGACGATGATGATGTTGATGTTGATGCTGATGACGATGATGCTGATGCTGAAGCTGCTGACGGTGATGACAATGGTGATGATGGTGATGATGATGTTGATGATGCTGATGGTGATGATGATGATGCTGACCATGATGATGATGATGATGCTGATGATGATGCAGATGATGATGATGATGATGATGATGATGATCATCATGATGATGATGACGATGGTGGCGATGCTAATGATGCTGCTGATGACGATGATGCTGCTGATGATGATGATGATGATGGTGATGATGATGATGATGATGACGATGGTGGCGATGCTAATGATGCTGATGATGATGATGATGATGACGATGATGATGATGATGATGATGATGATGATGAGGATGAGGATGAGGATGAGGATGAGGATGATGAGGATGATGAGGATGATGATGATGATGATGATGATGATGATGATGATGATGATGATGATGATGATGATGATGATGATGATGATGATGGGGAGACATGTCCGAATCCACGGCCTCGTGAGCCGGGCCTCTAGACGCTCCGTGTCTATAGGCGACCCCATAGACACCGAGCGTGTGTTCGCGGATACCCCCTCGTGGATCCCACACCTAAAGGGGCCGTGCTCGGCGCCCAGACCGCGAGGGCGTGCACGTAGTATATGGATGCGGTGGCCGCCCGTGATGAGCACCTGGAGCGGGGAGGGGTGGGGGGGTGCTGAAGAAGGAGGAGGAGGCGCAGGAGGAGGAAGAGGAGGAGAGGTGGAGGAGGAGGAGAGAGATGAGGAGGAGGAGGAGGAGGAGGAGGAGGGAGGAGGAGGATACAGAGGAGATGGAGGTCATGAGGAGGAGGAGGAGGAGGAGGAGGAGGAGGAGGAGGTGGAGACTGAGGAGGAGGAGGAGGAGGAGAGGCGGAGGGTGGGAGAAGGAGGAGGAGGAGGAGGAGGAGATGGAGGAGGGGGAGGAGAGGAGGAGGAGGAGGAGGAGGAGGAGGAGGAGGAGGAGGAGGAGGGAGATGGCGGAGGAGGAGAAGGAGGAGGAGGAGGACGGGGAGGAGAAGGGGGAGGAGGAGAGAAGGATGGGGAGGAGGAGGATGAGGAGGAGGAGAAGGAGGAGGAGGCGAAGGAGGAGGAGGAGGAGGAGGAAGAATGATGGAGGAGATGGAGATGGAGGAGGAGGAGGAGGAGGAGGAGGAGGAGGAGGAAACACGAGAGGAGGAAGGAACAGGAAACCGACGACGAGGAGGAAGAGGAACGGGAGGAGGGGCAGGTTGAGGACCTGGTGCGGGCAGGGGGGGGTCCTCTGCGGCGCGCGCGCGGCGCGGCGGGCAGGGTCACCGGCTACGACCCCCTCCGAGGCGGGCTGGAGGCCAGGGCCGCGCCCAGGCGGTGGCCCGAGGCGGCGCCGCTCCCCCCGCTCGCCGCCCGCTGTCGCGGCCGCCTCCGCGAACAGGGCATGCGGTCGAGTGATTTTGCGGGAAGGTTCGAGGAGGATCGAAGAGGAGGATCGAGCAGGAGTGGGAGCAGGAGGAGGAGGAGGAGGAGGAGGAGGAGGAGGAGGATGAGGCGCACGCGCAAGAGCTTCACGGTCTCAACGTGCTTCGCCGCCCGCGGCTTCTCTCCCCCCCTCCGCGCCTCTCCCGCTCCTGTGGCTCGGCGGCGAGCCCCGTGGGGGGGGGGACGTGAGAAGGCGATGGGCCTGTTTCCCACCACCACCACCACCAGAAGTTGGAGGGGGGAGGGGGTCCTCATCCCCCTCGTCTTCTCCTCCTCCTCCTCCTCCTCCTCCTCCTCGTTTCCCCCTCCAACTTATGGTGGTGGTGGTGGTGGTGGAAAACAGGCCCATCAGAAGAGGCGGGCCTTCTCAGAAGGCTCGGAAGTCCCCCGGCCTTCTGAGAAATTTTCCAAGCCTCCCCCGAAGACGCAGAAGACCTCCCAGAGGGACAGAGGGCTTCTGATGAGTCGCGCCGCCTTCTGAGAAGGCCTTCTCCTTCTCACCTCCCCCCCTCGCTCGCCGCCGAGTTGTGCCCATGTGTTGGCCCCGAAGCGTCCCTCGCGGCTGCCCCCAGCCGCGTCATATGGTTCCAAGGTCGCCGCGGTAAGAGCAACGTCTTTGGGGGGGTGGGGGAGCCGCAGCCCAGGGCCCGAGCCACAAGCAGCGGTTTTTTGGCGGTGTCGTTGGCCCTTCTCGGTTGGATTCTGTGCTGCAGCAATCGGCGGCGAGCCAGGGGGGGAGTGAGAAGGAGCAGGCCTTCGGAGAAGGCGGCGGGACTCCTCAGAAGCCCTCGCGACTTCTGAACGGATTTCTTCCGCCTTCCAGGGAGGCTAAGGAAGGCTTGGAACAATTCTCAGAAGGCCGGGGGACTTCGTCCCCCCTAGCTCGCCGCCGAGGCAAAGGCGGAACGAAGACGGACCGGAGGAGAACGACAACAGAACGAGAGCGAACATGTTTGTTGAGCTCTGGGCCTCCTAGATGAGGGCCGAGTAGATGGGGTCGGAGGACCGCGCCGCATCGCCGATGCATCGGCGAGGCATCAGCGATGCGGCTTTTTTTGGAGCCCGATTTTCTCCACGCCGATGGTGCCGATGTATCACCAGTCGGGGGTGGACAGAACCCCCAACAGTGACACGTCGATTAGTGAATTGTCCGTTTTCGGTTCTCGAGAGGGCGCCGTGGCCGTTATTTTCCATGCTTGCGCCCGCCAGGTTTGGGCCTCAGGTCGTTTCACGAAACCACGTTTTACTAAAGGGTGGTCTGTCCATCCCCGAACCAGCGTCGCCGATGCTTCGGCGATGCAACGGTGATGCGGCGCGATGTTCCGACCCCATCTACTCGGGCCCGAAGACAGACCGACGGAAACCGAAGGCAAGGCGAGAACGAGCAACACGCTGCTTGGCTCGAGCCCTGCTCCCAGCCCCGCACGCGGTCCGCGAGGCCCGCTCGGCGGACTGCGTGCAGCCGCGGCCGTGTCTATTGCTTCAGGGGGCGGCGGCCAGAGCGTTCCATCGCTCGCCCCCCTGGCCGCTCCTCGAAGCTGTAGCCTCCGTTCGCCTTCCCTCTTCCTTCCTCACTGCTTCTTCATCCCCTTCACCTTCCCGCTGCTGACCGTCCTCGCCGTGAGGTGATGTGCAGTAGCCAGTCCAACCCGCGAGCTTGTTCATGTCCCACACAGGTACACATTCTCCCTCCTCCACTCCCGCGTCTCGGAGGAGGGCCAGGACAACCGCTGCTGCCCCCCGCACGGGCCAAGTCTGGTCTCAAAGATTGGTCCCAGACCCCTCCGGGGGCCCATCCTGATCCGGCGTCCGAGGCGGCTCCAGCCGGGGCGACGAGAAGCCTCCGGGAGGCCCGAGAAAGCAGGACGCGCCAGGCAGGGCCGCCTTTGCTTCGACTGGCCCTCTTCCTCTCTCCCCTCGTCCTCTTGCCTCGACTTTGCCGCCTTTGGCCTTCCTTCTTTCTCTTCGTCTCTCCCCTCTTTCCTCTTTTCTCTTCCACCTCTGCCTTTTCTCTTCCTTTCTCCCCCTTCCCTCTTCCTCTTCTGCCGTTCCTCTTCTGCCGTTCCTCTCCTGCCTTTCCTCTCCCTCTCTGCCGCCTTTGAATTTCCTTATTCCTTTCCTCTTCCTCTTCTGCCTCCTCCTCTTGCCTCTTCCCGTCTCTCTTTTTCCTTCCCTCTTCCTTTTGCCCTTTTCTTCTTTCCCCTTCCCCCCCCCCCGGTGTCACATTCCGGGTCGGATCAGCCGACAGCCTGGTGCCGCGTGCGCTGCCCGACAGATGCAGGGCACGCGCCCCCGGAGCGCGTGGCCTCTCTGGCAGAGAGGAGTCCCTCGCCTCTCCTGCTGCCGCGACACCGGCACCCGCCCACCTCTGGGACGGGTGTCCACTGGGGTCAGGCGGGATGGCGACGTCGGCAGGGTTGGCCGGTCTCTTGATTCCCGACGACTGTTTTTGTTTTTCTCCGGACGGGGACGATTGCCATTTCCCCCGTGGAGGGTGGGACGCTCGAGGGAAAAAGAGTGTCCACTGGGGTCAGGCGTGTGTGCACGTCCGAGCGTCCTCGCTTCCCCTTCGGGCTCGAGCCAAAGCACCACGGAGCACTCGCCTCCCCTTTTCTGGTCCTGCTCGTCGCCTTTCTTCCCCTGCTCCTCCCCCTTTTTCTGCACACGCGCTCCCCTGAGATCCGACGTTGCGAAAAACCGCAGCATCGCGTAGAATCGCGCATCCGCGGATCGCTGTGTGAAGGTCCCAGAGCCGAAATCAGGCGAAAACGCCCGTTCTGAAAGAATGGCAGTGCCTGGATTTGAAATGATGATGCTGGTGATGATGATGACGATGATGCTGATTCTGATGCTGCTGCTAATGCTGTTGATGATGACGATAATGACGTTGGTGGCTTCAGATGAATATGGTGATGGTGCTGCCGTTGCTGTTGATGATGGCGTGTGATGATGATGATGATGATGATGATGATGATGATGATGATGATGATGATGATGATGATGATGATGATGATGCTGATGATGATGATGATGATGATGATGATGGTGGTGGTGGTGATGATGATGATGATGCTGATGCTGATGCTGATGCTGATGATGATGATGATGATGATGACGGGCGGTGATGACGAAGAGGTGTCATGGTGTCATGATGATGTTAATAATGGTGTTGTTGATGACCATGATGAAGGCGATACCGCTGCGAATGATGATGATGATGCTGAGGAATGATGGTGATGATGATGATGATGACGTTGGTGCTGATGCTGATGCTGATGCTGATGATGACTATAATGATGCTGCTGAAAAAATAACACTGACGATGACGATGACGACTACGATGAGATTGATGACGATGATGCTGATAAAGGTGGTAACGTTGATGGTGATGTTGATGATGTTGATGATGGTGATAGTGAGCATGAGGATGAGGATGGTGATGACGGTGATGACGGTGATGACGACGACGACGGTCATGATGATGATGATGACGATGATGATGATGATGATGATGATGATGATGATGATGATGGCGATGGCGATGGCGATGGCGGTGGCGATGGCGATGGTGATATTGATGATGGTATTAGTGGTGATGACGATTATGATGATGACGGTGATGATGATGTTGATAATGATGTTGATGATGATCATGATGATGATGTTGGTGGTGGTTGGGATGATGATGATGGTGGTGATGATGATGTTGATGGTGATGGTGATGATGATACTGATGACGATGACGATGATGATGAGGATGATGATGATGATGTTAATGATGAACATGCTGATGATGATGATGATGATGATGATGATAATTCTGATGATGATGATGATTGTGATGTTGATGGTGATGGTGATGATGCTGATGATGCTGATGATTATGGTGATACGAGGAGTAGGAGGAGGAGGAGAAGGAGAATGTGAACAATTGCATCCCCCTGGATCTCAGGGTCCACCCCGCCAGCGCATATGCCGTTGGGGAGGAAGCGCGCCAGGCATCCCCGCGCGACTTGCTGGCCTCTTGGATGGACGCCCCTCGGGGCCGGCCTGCGGGCCGCATCGCGCGTCGAATCGCCTCTCCTCCTCGCCTCCTCGCCTCTCCAGGCTTCTCCCCGTCTCCTCCCCATCCACCTCGCCTCTCCTCGTCTCTCCTCTCCCCCTCGCCCCTTCCGGTTCCCCCCTCGCCTCTCCCTATGGCCTCCTCGCCCCGAACGAGTGTTCAAGGGGGGTCGACCAAGGCAAATAGGGTTTTCCAACGCTCTCAGGAGTGATCCAACGCTCAACGTTTCCCCATTCGCCCCTCCTCGCCCCTCCTCCCTCGAGGGTCGCACCGCCTCGCCCCTCCGCTCCTCCGCGCTCCTTTGTTGGGGCGCCCAAGCCGCGTGCTCCTGCCGGCCGCCCCCCCCGCCCCCTCCCCCCTCTCTCTCAGAGCGTAAGTTACCTACCCCACTTTCGCTTCCAGGCAAAAAACCAAGCCATACCACGCGCCTCCTCGTCAAGCGGCCTGACCAGTACAGGCTGCAATTTGGCATCGTTTGGTATCTCTTGGAAGCGAGGGTGGTCAAAAGCGAGGTAGGTGTGTTTTCCCCCTACTCTCGCCGCCGGCGAGGAGAGCCCCGTGCTCCGCCGCGGCCTCCGGACCTGCGAGGCCGCGGTAGGCCGCGCCGCCAGGGGGGGGACGAGCGAGGGCGCGGAGGGGAGCGAGCCTCTAGGCCTCCCAGATGGGGTCCTCCTCCTCCTCCTCCTCCTCCTCCTCCTCCGCCTCCTCCCTCCTCCGCCTCCTCCTCCTCCTCCTCCTCCTCCTCCTCTCCTCCTCCTCTCCTCCTCCTCCCTCCTCCTCCTCCTCCTCCCCTCCTCCTCCTCCCTCTCCTCCTCCTCCTCCTCCTCCTCCTCCTCCTCCTCCTAGGCCTCCTGTCTGCCCTCTCCTTTCTCTTTCCCGCCCAGGGGCGCGGAGGGGAGCGAGTCTCCAGGCCTCCCAGATGGGGTCGGAGTAGATTCAGGAGGGGAAAACACACACAGACTCAATGAATCGTCGACTCCCCGGAAAGTATGGGAGAATATGGGAAGTGGGGGGGAAGACGAAAACCCGGAACATATGGGAAAGTATCCCGGCAAAGCAACCTAACAGCGATGTGTAGGAGCATATCTGGAAGCATTCCCCTTTAGATTCAGATGAGAATCCAGTTGTAGAATTCTGCTGTTCTCGCAGTCGTCGTAGTCGCATTCGCGATGACAGTCGCAGTGGCAACGGCAGTCACAGTCACAGCCTCAGCCTCAGCCTGCCTCTCAGCCTGCCTCAGCCTCAGCCTGCCTCAGCCTCAGCCTCAGCCTGCTTCAGCCTCAGCCTCAGTCTGCTTCAGCCTCCTCAGCCTCAGCCTCAGCCTCAGCCTTCAGCCTCAGCCTCAGCCTCAGCCTCAGCCTGCCTCCTCAGCCTCAGCCTCAGCCTCAGCCTCAGCAGCCTCAGCCTCAGCCTCAGCCTCAGCCTGCCTCAGCCTCAGCCTGCCTCAGCCTCAGCATCAGCCTGCCTCAGCATTCAAAATGTGGCCCGGGAATGGAGTTCTGGGAACTCGAAGAACACGAAGTGGCCTACAGTTGGCTCCGGGCATTCAAAATGTGGCCCGGGAATGGAGTTCTGGGAACTCGAAGAGCACGAAGTGGCCTACAGTTGGCTCCGGGCATCCAAAATGTGGCCCGGGAATGGAGTTCTGGGAACTCGAAGAGCACGAAGTGGCCTACAGTTGGCTCCGGGCATCCAAAATGTGGCCCGGGAATGGAGTTCTGGGAAGTCGAAGACCACGAAGTGGCTTACAGTTGGCTCCGGGCATTCAAAATGTGGCCCGGGAATGGAGTTCTGGGAGCGCCAAGAGCGATTTTGCGAGGATGTCTCAGGCGATTTGGGTGGCGGCGGCAGAGCGCAGGCAGCCTCCCGTCCCAGGGCCCCTTCATAGATGGGGTCGGAGGATCGCGCCGCATCGACGATGCATCACCGAAGCGGCTCGATTCGGAGCCCGATTTCCTTCACGCCGACGTCGCCGATGCACCGCCGACGTCAACGATGCATCGCCGATGTATCGGCGATGCGGCACGATCCTACGACCCCATCTTCTCCGACCCCATATAGGAGGCCTCTAGCGAGGGCGCCGGCGACCACAACCCGTATGATGTCCTAACCTACTGTAGCCCTGACCACCAGAAAGGATTTCGAGCACTGAGGAAGTACCGAAACTCGAGGTTTTTCATGTGTCGGGCCCTGGAAGGCGATGCTCATTCGACGCTGTTTGGATACTTTTCTGGGTGCTCGAAATTATTTCTGGGATGTGGTCCTTAAATATGATGGGAGCCACAACGCAACCCAGAGGTCCGATGCTCCGACGACACATGGAGCGGCCGGTGTGTGGCCGTCTTCGGCCTCCGGGGCCCTCGCTGGGCCTCCGGACCGTCAAAGAAGAACGATTCGGGACGTGAAGCCGACCTTGGGGAAGTGTCTAGGAGTCCAGGCCTCCTGGGCCCACGCATCGGAAAAATTGGAGCGGTCGCATGTCTGCTGGAAATCGGCTGCAATCGAAGAGGAAAGAATGACATCCACATCAGCCGCGCGGATGTCTTGGATCCGCGCTGGGACCCCCTGGCAGCGCCTCCAGCGCCGCCCCTGGTGCGCTCCGCGCGACAGGGAGGCATTCAGAGGACCCTCCTTCGGGGGTGGACGGACATCCACCCTGACACGTCGATTAGCGAATTGGCCGTTTTCGGTTCGCGAGAGGCGTCGCGGCCGTCATTTTTGCGGGTCCAGGTCCGTCGGTTTCCGTCCCAGGCCGTTTTCACTAAATGGAGGTTTACCAAAGGGAGGTTCGTCCACCGCCGATCGGGGCTTTCGAGTGGCCCCCCCCCAGTGGCATTCAGTGGGCCCTCTTGGATGCCGCTGTCGGGGGGCCTCGTGGATTCCTCTGGAGCCGGCGATCCGCCTGGCTGGGACCACATTCGCGCCCTCCTTTCGAGGTGGGCGGCGGCCAGGTCGCGCCGCGGCAAGTATGTTCAGGAGGGGAACACACAGACACAATTAATCGTCGACTCCCAAAAATATGGGAAAATATGGGAAGTGGGGGGGAGGACAAAAACCCAGGAAATATTGGAAAATATGGGGAATCTTTTTATTTGTGTGTATTTATTTGTGTGTCCTGGGGCCCCTTCATATTTGTCGGGCCAGAGGCCCAGATACATGCAAGTGCTAGCAACACTGTTGTAGTCACGTTCGCGGTTCGTTTTGCGTTTATTGGCGTCGCGGGATGATGTCCTGAATCTCATGCAGTCATCAGATGTGTGTTCGTTTTTTGTTCTGTCGGATCCCTCTGCGGGGGTCGCGAGCTCCAAGTACTTTTTGGCCAATGTGCCTAAGCCGGCCTTACAGCTCTCTGTCATTTTGACATACGGGAGCGGGAGGAGGACCAGGAGGGTTGGCGGGAGGATGGGGGAGCAGGGGGTGGTCGGGAAGAGTCGGGATTAGGCGGGGGCGGATGTCATGGCCAGGGCAATGATGTGTCTCTGGATTTCATGGCGCCCTCTTCTTGTTCCAGCACCCTTGTCTACCCCCCAGTGGATCTCGGCCGTTTGTTTACCGTTTCCATTTTTTACCGTTGGATGGCATGGCCGTGTTTGGCCCCCTTGGATGGCAGGGCCGTTTCTTTTACCGTTTCCAAAAAAATGGCTCTTCAGAATGAAGACATCAACTAACGGCTCATCGGCATGGTGACAAACATGGTTCCGGAATCGGAGCTGGAACCGGCGCACAACGGCGACGGAACCGGACATAAAAATTGAAGCGAAGCCAGCCATTCAAACCGAGGCCCAACAAGTCCCCCCTTTTCCGCGCGCATGTCTTTGGCCACGATTTGCCAACGTCTCTCCCTCTTGGAGGCCCCCCCTCTTGAACGCCCCCGAGTTGGGAAGGGGGGCAGGGAGGAACGGGAGGAGGGAACGAGGTCGTGGTCGTGGTTCGAACCCCAGAAACCGTCAGGCCCCGTACGGTGGCCTGATTTTCAGAGGTTCTGGACGAGGGGACGCGCGGTGACGACCCACCAGTTCGTGCTTCCTGAGCTCCAGCGTACAATACTGGCGTGCAGAGCAGGGCTGGACCTAAACGGTGTTTTGGCGATTTCGTTGGCCGTTTTCGTTTGGACTTCGTTTTGCGGTTAAGGCGGATTGAAGACAAACGAGGGAAAACGGAAAAAAAAAAACGAAAACGAAAAACACCGTTTAGGTTCAGCTTTGGTGCAGAGTTGCGCCGTCCAGCCAAGATACGCACCACTGAGCGCCGCGACCACCCCTCCCTGCCTCTTCGCCCACCCCCCCTTCTCCTCCTCTCCGCCTCCTGGGCACTGGGCACCTGCTGGCATCGGAAGATCCAGTCAATGATGTGATCCATCCTCCCCGCAGCACCTTCTGCTGCTGGGGGGAGCCGATCAAGCTGCTTATTCTGCAGTATGTGGCGCCACCAGAGACGCAGGACCGAGGAGGACCCTCCAGGTGGACGGGTGACGTAGCCATGTCACCCTGCCACCCCCAGAAGGGGGAGGCGACAGAACAGCGACAGGGACTGACTGCGACGAACGATATCTGCCTCCTTCTGCTCCTCCGACCCCTCGTCTTGCTCCGTCTCGCGAGGGCAGCCCAGGACAACAGTCGGAGGTTGGGGGCTGAGATCGCAGTGAAACGGAGACCCCCCACCGGGAAATCGGTTTCGGTTTCGTGTTCGTGTCGTGCGTGCGGGCGAGGCGAAGCTGCGCGTGATCCTCCTGTAGCTAGGCCGAAGTAGGAGCGCAAGTCCGTTTCCCGTCCGCCGGTGTCCAGGAGGTGTCCCAGTTGGGCCGGGCGGTGTCTTGGGTGTCCCGGGTGTCAGTAGGAGCGAAAGTCCGTTTCCCGTCCGCCGGTGCCCGGGAGGTGTCCCAGTTGGGCCGGGCGGTGTCCCGGATGTCCCGGGGCGTCCCGGCGCTAACGCGTGTCGTTAATTTCGATATGCATTTTTTTCGGCGCCTGCGGTGGGCTTTCTTATGCAATCCAGCTTGTCTTCCCCAATCCATTTTGTCCGATTTAATCAATATTATCGTATCTATCTGATCCTTATCCCACCCCATCCAATCCACCCAACCCAATCCATCAATTAATTTGTTTATACGCCTGCGACGAGCCAATCCAATCCATCTTATCTGATCCAATCCATTTCTTCCAATCCAACCCATCTTATCTTATCCAATCCATCGTATCCATCCAAACCAATCCACCCAACCCAATCCAGCAATTCGTTTTTGTCGGCGCATGCGGCGGGCTTCCTTATCCAATCCAGCTTATCTCATCCAACACATCTTGTTAAATGCAATACATCTTATAGTATCCAACCGATTTTGCTCCATCTTAGCTTATCCCACCCAATCCAATCCATCCAACCCAATCCATCAATTCATTTGATCTCAATCCCCCCCAACCTTCTTGTCGCCCGCAGGGCGGTCGTATAGGTATGCTCCTGCTTCGCCGTCATCTCGGCCCTTTCGTTCTGCTCCCGCGTCTTCTCCTCCTCTTCCTCCTCCTCTGCGTTCCGCCGTCGCCTCCCTGTCCTCCTCCAAGGAGAGGCAACTCTAGTCTAATCTTGCTGTCTGGGATCGAATCGCCGCGTCGGCCTCAGCCTAATCTACTCAACGTTCTGGCTGTTTCTTGACGGCCCAGGGGCCCGGCGAGGGCCCCTGGAGGCCAAAACAAATCACAGAACCGCGCAAGGAGGAGGTCTCGGGCTTGGGCCAGAGATCTATGCTGAGTTCAGATCGGTTGCGGCCCATATTCTGATCCCCGACCGTGCGAAACTGATTCCGGCTGTCCTTGTCCAGGATTCTTCCCAGGATTTTGTGCAGCGAACTTTGACTCCTGGTGTATCGGCATGTGTTCTGGATTAGTTTCCTAGCCAATCTCGCACCTGTTTTGAAGGCATAAAAAGGAGTGAGGCCGCCATGTTTCCCCCAGCGCGAGGAGGTCCTGGGCCAGAGCAGGGTTGGACCGTCCAGACGGTGTCTTCGGTGATTTCGTGGGCCGTTTTCGTTTCGACCTCGTTTTGCGGTAAAGGAGGATCGGAGACAAAAGCGAGGGACAGCGAACACAAAACGAAAACCAAAAACGCCGTTTAGGTTCAGCCCTGGGCCAGAGATCCTCTCGACTGTCCCGTATCAAGGCGCTGGCGCTCCCCAGGCCATGAGGGCCGAGGCCGGGCTGCCAGCGTCCCCGCCCACGGGGCCAAGGACCGGCCATCTGTTCGTTGTGCTTTCTCCTTTTCGAGGCCTCCCAGGTGGGGTCGGAGTAGATGGGGCCAGAGGATCGCGCGGCATCGCCGAGGCATCCCCGATGCGGCTCGGTGCGGAGCCCGATTTTCTGCACGCGGACGTCGCCACTGAATCGCTGGCGTCGCGGGTGCATCGCCGGTGCATCGCCGATATATCGCCGATGCATCGCCGATGCGAGGCGATCCTCCGACCCCATCTGCTTCGACCCCATCTAGGAGGCCTCTACCTTGGGCCTTCTCTCCCTCTCCAAGACAGCACGGCCCTGGGGAAGGCCACGAGTCGGCTTGAGGAGACCCCCCCCGCTCGGGAGCACCTCGGAGGAGGACCAGCTGTCGACCGTGGGCTTTTTTTTTTGACGGCCCCGTGGGCTTGGCGAGGACCTCTGGAGGCCGAAGTGGCCAAAAGCCCTCCGCCGCGATTTTCCACGACGCGAGGAGTTCTGCCCCCCCCCTCCCCCGACCGCTCCCTCGACAGGAATGGCCACGGAATGGAGAGGGGGAGGAGGACGAGGACGTGGACGAGGAGGAGGAGGCAGAGGAGGAGGAGGACGACGACGAGGACGAGGACGAGGACGAGGACGAGGACGAGGACGAGGACGAGGAGGAGCAGGAGCAGGAGGACGAGGACGAGCAGGACGAGGAGGACTAGGAGGACGAGGAGGACGAGGAGGACGACGAGGACGACGAGGAGGAAGAGGAGGAGGAGGAGGACGAGGAGGATGAGAAAGAAGAGGACGAGGAGGAGGAGGAGGAGGAGAAGGAAGAGGAGGAGGAGGAGGAGGAGGAAGAGGGGGGAAGCAGGATGAGGTGGAGGAGGAAGAGGAGGAGGAGGAGGCGGTGGAGGAGGAGGACGAGGAGGAGGAGAAGAAGGAGCAGGGGGGGCAGGAGGAGGGGGATGAGGAGGAGAAGGAGGAGGAGGTGGAGGAGGGGTAGGGGGAGGACGAGCGGGAGGAGGAGGAGGAGGAGGAGGAGGAGGAAAAGGCGGTGGAGGAGGAGGAGGAGGAAGAGGAGGAGGAGGAGGAGGAGGAGGAGGAGGAGGAGGAGGAGTTGGAGGGGAGGAGGAGCAGGAGTATCGATGCACGGAGGGGCAAGGCGACGGAATGCGAAGCAAGGGGGGGAAGAGGAGCTGGGCGAAGGAGGAAGAGCAGAAGGAGGAGGAGGAGGACGAGGAGGAACATGAAGAGGAGGAGGAGGAGGAGGAACAGGAGAAGGGCGAAGGAGGAGGCGCGGAAGGAGGATCCGGTCTCCCTGCCCCTCGGCGACCCCAGCCGCCCCGCGGCAGTCCTTGCCACCTGCGCGCTTGTCGCCTGCGGGGCCTTCCTGGCAGCAGGCGCCCCGCCCGCCCCCCCCCCCAAACGCGCTGTCGTGGCCGCCAGCCCCGCTCGTGCTGCGGGCCGGAGGCCCCGGGGGCAACGCGTCAAAAAGTGGGACGGCGGATGATTCGAAGGGGAAAACACTGCGTAAACATAAGTTGTTGGCGCTCCGCGCGGATTTGTTGGATCCGCGCTTGGCCCCCCCGGCGCCGCCTCCGGCGCCGCCCCTGGCGCGCTCCGCACGCCAGGGAGGGGGGTCCAGCACAGATCCAAGAAATCCGCGCGGAGCGCCAAATGCCTATGTTTCTGGAATTGTTGTTTACTTCCATTTACTCTTATGCTCATTATTTTTATTATTTCTTCTTCTTCTAGTAGATTGGGCTCGGGCCCGCACGGAGAATCTCAAACAACCGCAAACACACATGATACGTTCTTGCAGTAGGAAGGCGCTTGAAGCAGACCGGGCTCTGGGAGTCGGAGTCCACACGTATCGGACGGGGCAGGGACGAGGATAAATCCGTCCCAGTGTTCCAGAACCTTCTCAGAGCGTTCTCGAACGCTCTCAGAAGATTGCGGCGCCCGAGACATCCTCCAGAGCTGCCAGATCTCACAGGCGATCGATTTGTCATCACCCGATTTTGTCCGCGTCTTGGCTCCGTCTCAAAAGCACGTAGCACCTCGCAGTTGCGGACAAGAGTGAGTGGGGTGGTGGGGACGCTGGCAGTCTGCGAGGTTCTGAAGAAGCCCACCGCAGGCGGTTAATTCTCACAAAATATGCCACGAGCTCGACGCAGGCGCCGATTTTTCCTTGAAAGCAATTTGGGTGAGTCGCGGGGTGCGTCGCGGGTGGGTCGCTGGTGGATCGCGGGTAGGTCGTGGTCGGGTCGCGGGCCGGGTCGCGGGTGGGTCGCGGGTGGTTCGCAGGTTTGGTCGCGGGTGGGCTGCGGGTGGGTCGCAGGCGGTTCGCGGGCAGGGTCGCGGGTGAGTAGCGGGTGGGTCGCGGGCTGGGTCGCGGGTGGGTCGCGGGTGGTTTGCGGGGGGGTCGTGGGGGGGTCGCGTGAGAGACGACAACCAACAGCAAACAGCAAACAACGGACAAACAAGAGCAACCATACGTATTCAAACAACAGCAGCCACAGCAACAACAACTACAGCAATAGGAACAACAACAACAACAACAGCAACAACACCACCACCAACAACGGCACCACCAACAACATCGACAGCACCAGCAACAACAACAACAACAACAACAAATTCAACGATCGTATTACCGAATGCTCGATGTTTCTACATGCAGCATGCATCCATCTTGCTATCTTTCCCCTCGTGAAGGATATGTTTGTGCACACGGGGGTTCGATCTTTCCTGTTCCTGATCTGCATAAACCCATCGCCCCCGTGCGCTGATTGTGCTGAGAGAGTGTTTGGAAATCGTGACGTGGCATGCTCCATCGACGTTCCGGCTCACTTCTCCAGGCAAGCACCCCGAGAAAATATCTCACCATGGTAGCGGAGACGTGGTCCCCGTTGCCGTCGCCTGGCGAGGGTTCCGCGGCTCCCGGCCCCGCTGGCGCGGGCGCCGCGCCTGTGCCAGGCGCGCCGGAGAAGGATGAGTGGTTTTGTGTGTGTCTAGCAACGTTTGGCGGCGGATAGCACTGGCCCTGCGTGAGCTGTTCAAGTTCAGGCGCCCGGGGTCCGCTCTCGGCAACCACCTGAGGCTCTTCACGGCGCTCAAGCCTGTTTCAGAGCCCCACTGACGGGATGGCGACCGAGGAGAGAGAGAGAGAGAGAGAGAGAGAGAGAGAGAGAGACAGAAAGAGAAAGAGAGTCCAGCAGTTCGAGAGAGCGGTGCAGGCGATGGCGCGGGAGTTCCAGAACAGCCAGAGTAGAGAGAACGAGCTGGCAGCCGAGGTGCATAGCCTCGGCCGAAGGGCAGCTGGCGTGGCCCGGCCAGCAGGTGCTGTTACGGCGCCGCCTCGAGTGGATCACCTGGTGGACACGCGCACTCTCGACAAGCCTGACGTGTTCACTGGAGAGGAGCACAAGTGGAATGATTGGATCCAAGGTCATCTTCTGAGCGTACTGTGCGGTTGTGAACCCTGACCTGGTCACATGGATGCGTCGTGAGTCCCGATCTCGGTGCTCATAGACGACCTGGCTGAGGACTCGCTCAAGGACGCCTCGCAGCAGCTGTATTACATCCTCCTCCTCTGCCGGCAGCATCCCTTGACCACGATCGTCAGTGGCGGCGAGAATGAGGGCTTCCAGGCGTGGCGCATGCTGGTCGAGTACTATGAGCCGAATGCTGGGTCTCGGATCGCGGGCCAGCTGCCCAACCTGCTGAATTTCACGTTCGCTGGCGATGTTGAGGACAGGCTAGCGCTGTCCGGGCGAGAGCTGATCCGATGCGAGCAGCGGAGTGGCATAATTTACCCTCTCGGCAATGATGAGGATAGGCATTGTGCTGCGCCAGCTCGAGGAAGGGCCCTTGCGTCAACGCCTTTTGCTCAGGGCGGCCCAACGCGTGGAGTGGCGGGACTTCCGCCAGGAGGTTGCGGACGCCCGCGGGGCCCAAAGGCATGGGCAGGAGCGACGGCAAGAGGAAGACCGGCAGAGCCATGGGCCAGAGCAAGAACATCGGGCCGCCCTGCTGGGGCCGCGGCGGCCGGGGCCACGCCTGGCGCGAGTGCCCAGGCAAGAACGGGGGCGCGCTGACGAGCACGGAGCAGACCTTGTCGCGCCTGAACCAGCAGCATCGGCTTGGAGCGGGCCTTGGCGCGACCGGGCCAGCTCCATCGGTTCCCTTGTCGACGAGAATGGGTCCAGCATCATCTTCGACAAGTGGGGCGTCTCGGCAGATTGCAGCGCTCTCCCTCAGTGGCGACAGCGAGCAGGACGACCACCCGTTCGCGCAATTTCATTCTTTCATTTTGAACGACCTGGGCCTTGCGTAGGCGGACGGCGTCGACACCGTGACTGGCGCGGTCGCAGGCGCGAACGTGGTCCGCGGCAGCGCGGACGCGGAGGAGGTCGAGTTCAACGGCGCCTTGCGCGTGGGCATCGACTCTTGCGCAGCGGCCTTTCTGCTGCCGCGCGGCCCCCGGCGGACTGCCCGGCGCGCGAGAGTCGCAGCGGGGCGGCCAGACCGCCGCCGGCCATTGCGCGGCCGACGAGGGCGAGACGCCCCTCGCGGGGAAGACGCTTGGAGCTTCCCAGGCGCGCGCCGCCGCGTTCAGGGCGGCGGGCGCCAGCCAGCCGTTGCTGGGCGTCGCGGAGATGATCGACTCGATGGCTCGTCTTCGACTCCCAGCGCGGGCGAGATGTCAGTTACGCGCGCTACGACCAGCGGAGATGTTGCGAAGTTCTGCCGCAGGAACAGGGTCTGCGAGATCGACGCGCACGTCGACCCGCGCGCTACGGGGGCCTGCCCCGCGGAGGCGGCGGGCCCAGGGCCTCCCGAGGGCGAGGCCGGCCAGCCAGGCCCCGCCCACGAGGAGGTCGCCGAAGGTGCTGCGCGCGAGGTGCTGCATGGGCCTTGCAGGGCACGGCGCCGGGAGTGCGTCTCGGCGGGGGCCTGCCAGCGGGCCGCCGCGCTACAGACCGCCGAGAGGCCTCTCTCGCGGTGCAACGCAAAAACGGTGCGACGATGCCGATCAGCAAGGGCCCCAAGCAGCGCCGGTACAAAGCGCCCACGGTGCCGGCCAAGGGGGCGCAGCATCCCTGGACGGAGAAGTCGGTGTCAGAGAGGGTGGCGCTGGCTGGCCACAAGCGCTTCGTCTTCCGTTCGGGTGGCGAGGCGCCCCGCGTCGTCTTGAACATTCGCATCGCAGCCATGCTCGAGGGCCGCGGCGTCGAGGCGGCCCCCGAAGAGTGCGCGACTGGCGATTCCCAGGGTAACTAACGGCTTCGCCGAGCACGCCGCGCGCGAGGCGCAGGCCACGGCCAGGGCCGCCAGGGCGCAGATCGACGACCTCCACGGCGTGAGCGTCGGCGTCGATCACCCGGTGGCCCCGTGGATGGTCGAGCACATGACGACGTCGACCAACCTGGGCAGGCGCGGCGCCGATATGGTCGGGCCGCGCGGGAGCTCGGGCGCGGCCGGGCCTTCGGCAAGGACCTCGCCTGCTTCTCGGAGAAGGGGCTGCACCTCCCAGGGGGCAAGCGGAAGGCCGGCGTCGAGGACGAGTTCTTCTCTGGATTCCACTTCGGGCCCACGCTGCGCACCGAAGCGGTCGTCATCGGAGCGGAGTCTGGCGCGCTGCGCGCCGGGATCATCGCGCGGCTGCCGATCGACCAGCGCGGCGACAAAGACGCGCTGAAGGGTCTCGTGGGGAAGCCGTGGGCGCTAGTGCTGGCGATTGCGGCGAGTGGCGAGGTGCTGGTGGCCATCGAGATCCGCGTGCCAGTGCCGGTCGTGCCGGCCGGCGCTTCCGCGCCGCTGGTCGCGCCGGCCGACGCTCCAGCGCCGCCGGCCCCCGAGGGGGTGGACCTCCCGGCTCGGGCCCCTCGAGGCGCGCGGCCAAGCGCCGGGCCGCGAGCCGTCTACGTCGGGAAGGTCGTCGAGATCTACTGCGGCGCCCGGGCGTGGGCCCACTCTGCCGAGCGCCGCGCTCGGATCGAGCAGGCGATGCTCGAAGGCGACGCGTTGGGGCAGAGGTGCGATCGGAGGCGACAGCGCGGGGGTGGCGGAGGAGACTGTCCGTCAGGCAGCGCGGGCCAGCCCCAGCGGCGCCTGCGCTGGAGGCAGCGCCGGCCGCCGACGCGGGCACGGCCCCGGCCCCCCCGACCCGGGCGGCGAGATCGAGGCGCTCTTGCTTTCGCTCGGCTACAGCGGGCGCAAGGTCGACGTGATGTAGGTGTTCTGCCCGCGAACAGGCTCGCGGGGTTTGCGCCGCTCTTCGCGCTGGTCCACGGCCGCGGCGGCTTGCTCGACATCAGTGTCGGATGGGACTTGTCCGGCCGCCGCCAAGAACGCCGATGTCGCGAGCTAGTTGAGCACTACGAGCCTCGCTTCCTCCCCGGCAGCCCTCGCTGCGCGGCGTTCTCATGCTGGAGTACCTGAGCGACAGGCTCGCCAAGAAGCCGACGGGGTGGATGAGCAACAACATGGAGGTGTTGGTTAAGGTTTGCAAGCGTTGCCCGAAAGACATCAGGGTTGGCCCTGAGCACGAGCGCCCCGCCCTCGTCGGCCGCAATGCGCGCGCGGCGGAGGGGTGCCCGACGATCGAGGCTCTATCGCGCCATTCTACGTGGTCTCCGCCAGCACCTCTCGAACAAAAGGCGCTCACTCTTGCGGCCCTCGACGCGGGGCCGAACGTGGACGACGGGGAGATCAGCTTCAAGGGCTTTGCCGGGCACTGGCGAGTTCTATGGCGACCTCGCTGGGGCGCCGCTGGGCGCTGAGAAGGTCAAGGCGGCGAGGCGCGCGAAGATGGACTTTATGGCCCAGCTCGGCGCGTGGACCTACGCGAGCGACGAGGATTGCAATCGCGAGCTCGGCCGCAAGCCTCTCAGCGCGCGCTGGGTCGCCGTCGACAAGGGCGACTCCAGCAGGCCTGACTACAGGTCTCGTCTCGTCGCGCAGAAGACCAAGGCGCAGAGTGCCATCGCCGGGGGCGACGTCGGTGCAGCGTTTGAGGCGACGCCGCCGCTGGAGCGCCTCTGGCTCGCGAGCAGCATGGCGACGTCGAGCGCCCGGCCGAGGCTCGCGCACCACGCTTCTTGGACATCTCACGGGCTCGCCCGCGCTGCGAGATCACGAGGGCGCTCCGCGTCGGGCTCCCCCATGAGGACCCGATGTCGCAGGAGGCGGGCACGCGCGGGCTCGGCCTTCTCTCCGCGCGTGCACTGCCGCATGGACAACCGGGTGGGCTTCTTCCACCACGGCGACGACTTCGCGCTCGAGGGCCCTCGCGGCGGCGCGGAGGCGATCCGCGAGGTGCGGGGCGCGAAGTTCATCGCGAGGGGCCGCGCCGCGCCCGGGCCAGCGCCGACCGACCTGAAGGAGATCGCGCGTCTCAACGGGGCCATGCGCTGGCGAGATCGGCGGAGCCATGGGGGCGAAACCATCGAGTGCGAGGCGGGCCCCAGGCGCGCGCAGACCTTCCGCGCGCGGCTGGGGGTGACGTCGGACACAAAGTCGCTAAGCACGCCTGGCGCGAGCCAGAAGCTGGCGCCTGAGGTCGAGCCCGAGCTGCTCGAGGCTGAGGCGGCCGAGCACCGCAGCGCGCGCATGAGGTTGGGCCACCTCGCGCTCGACCGCCCAGAGCTGCAGTCCGCCGCGAGAGAGCGCGCCCGTGGCATGCAGAAGCCGACGGAGCGCTGTCGCTCGTGGGGGCGCCTCGCGCCGTGTGGAGGTGGGCCACCAGAGGGCGGCTGCCTTCCTGGACACTTGTTCAGACACGGATTGGGCCGGTTGCCCGATCACCAGGGGGGGCGCAAGCTCGGTCGTGATCAAGGGCGGCCAGCGCCTGATCGCGACGGCCACGTCGACCCGCATCCCGATCGCGATGAGCTCAGGCGAGGCGGAGTTCCACGGCTGCGCGCGCGCGGCCAGCAGGGCCATCGGCACGCAGGCCCTGAGTCGGGGCTTCGGTCGGGGGCTGGGCCTTCGCGCGGGGAGCGATTCTGCCGCGGCCCTCGGCATTGCGCAGCGCCGAGGCTGCGGCGAGGTTCGACACCTGGAGACGCAAAGGCCGCTTGCCCAGTGCGCCCTCCGCGACGGCCGCCCGCCGAGGTCCCAGGCAGGGCCGATCCCGCGGACCGGGGCACGAAGTACCTAGACCAGGCAGCGATGCTGCGAGCTCTGAGCACGATGAATGTTGAGCTCTCGGATGCGCCTCTCTCGGGTGCCATCAAGGCGAAGGGCTGGGGAGCGCGCGTACGACTTACGACGATGGCCATTTTGGCCTGCAGCCTCCACGCCATTTGTTGCCTTGGTAGGGCGACGGTCGGTGGCGATGGTTAGTGCTAACTCTGGGCACGGCCGCGTGCTCGAATTGATCCTGCAACATCTGTGCTGTCCGGAGCGGGCTCAGCTGCGCACGGGTTCAAGTCGCGCCTGGCCAAAGGAGCCGAACGGCGCGAAGGCGGCTGCATAAACCCGTAGGTCCCTGCAGCGGCTGTGCTGAGAAATTTTGGTATAATGATTTGGCATGCTCCGTCGACGTTCCGGCTAACCTCTCCAGGCAAACACCCAGAGAAAAGATCTCACCATGATCTCTTGCCCGGAGTCTGGACAACACCTCCTCCGAGGCACTTCAACACTTCCAGTCGCGATGGCACATCGGTTTCGCACTTCCCCGGCACAGGGCTTTAGATACTAGATATCACGACGCTTGAGAGGCCTCAGACCTTTGGGAGAGCCCCGTGGAGAGCCCCCAGAGCCTTTGAGAGAAGCTTCAGAACCAACCCCTCATACTTTCGACCCCTTTCTGGGGACCGCTTTTGCGTCGGCGGCTTTCTGATAGCGCCGGGCTCGTCGTCGTCGTCGTCGTCAACGTTGCTGCCGCCGCCGTCGTCGTCCCCTCCTCGTCCTCCTCCTCCTCCTCCTTTTTCTCCTCCTCCTCCTCCCCCTCCTCCTCCTCCTCTTCCTCCTCCTCCTCCTCCTCCTCCTCCTCCTCCTCCTCCTCCTCCTCCTCCTCCTCCTCCTCCTCCCCCTCCTCCCGGTGTTCCCCCTCGAAGAAATGCCCCTGGCCTTCGGTGTCCCCAGGAGTTCCACGAGGCCCACCACGGCCCCCAGATCACGACGACGACGACGACGACGACGACGGGGCAGCTGACGATCGATCGGCGGCCAGCGTTCGCACCACGTGGCCATCATCGGGGGCGCCGCGGCGGCCGCGTCTCGGCCCGTCGCCCTGCCAGAAAGCTGGGAACCAGAGATCCGTCGTCACGAAAAACGGCAGCGGCTAACTTTGTCCAGGTCTTTGGCCTTTGGAGGCCCGCTTCGGGTTTTGGGGCCATCGGGAAACGAAAACGACGACGACGACGACGACGACGACGACGACGACGACGACGACGACGACGACGACGGAGTGGGTCGAGCTTTCCAGGGCCCGCGCACGGAAACAGTTCGGGCCGTGCCTCGCCGTCGCAGCAGGGCATCATTGCAGGGCATGACTGCGGTGAGCCGCGAGGTACGACACCAAACGCACGCCATGGTATTTCGCAACGGCGCGGCACGGTACATATGCCATTCCACAGCGCTCTATGACATGGCATGTGTGTGAATTGCGGTTTGGTCCTTGCGATGCAGCATGGGCATGCACGGTTGCATGCACGTGCGTTTGCGCGATCCGCGCGCGCTTGCGCCCAGCTTTCCAGGGTGTGGGCGGGGTGGGCCCTTTGGCTGAGGTGGCTCTCCGATGCTCCTGCAGATGGAGGCCCGCCGCGCCTGCCGCCCCGCGCCGCCGCGGCCGATCGCGGATTCCAGGGCGGCCTGGGTGCCCCTTCTTCCCCCGCTCAGCCTTTGCGCCGTCTTCCAATCGTTGGGTGTGCACCCTCGGGCTCCCAGCCCGCGAGCACTTGAACCAGTCCGCATCCAAGCACACATGGTCGGCCCGTGATTTCAAGGGCGACCCGGTTGAACCCCCCCCCGCTCAACCCGTTTCCCCTTTCTTCTTCGTCTTCCAAGCTCAGGAGCGAAGGAAGGGCGTGCACGTACATGAATCCACGCTGGTTTCGAGAGTACGCATTGCGCAAATGTTCGTACAACGCGGCCAGTTTCGCGGATCGAGGGGCCGCGTTCATGTACATAGCTGGGCGCGTACGTCTTTTGCGGGCTCCTTACAAGCGGCGGATGTGCGCACACGGGTTCCGAGCCCAAAAGGTCTACGCCATTCCGCCGACCCACAAAGGAAGCATAGGCAGGGCGAGGGCAGGGCGAGAAAAGCCAGGAGGCATGAAGATGCCTTTTAGCAGCCTCTTGCAACGTTTGTCGAGGCATCTGGGAGCCGTTTGGTGCCTCTTGGGGGCGTCTTTGAGGGTTCTTTGGGCCTCGTGGGGCCAGCTGGGAGGCCTCTGAGGGGCGTTTGGGCCATTTTGAGGGGAACGGCTAGAAAGGTAAGTTCGAATTCCTCTTCTTGGTCCTCTCTGAGGGCTCTCTTGTGCCGTGTTGGGACCCCACTGGGCCGTCTTGGGGCCCTCTTGGACCGGGGAACCCCTTGGACCGTCGTGGACGCTCTCAAGACGCAAAAGGCAAGCATGCTGAAAATGCACGTCCCCCCAAGGGAATGGGACGATTTCGATTTTCGTTTCTTGGGGCTGGTTTTCTTGGGCGCGTCGTGGGCCGTCTCCAAGCCTGCTTGGATCACCCGTGGGCCCCCTTGGGACATCTCGACGCTTTCATGGACTGTCATTGCGTTTCGTTGGCGTCTTGGGGGTCTGGAGAGGCTCCGGGTCCCCAGGGGATGCGTTCAGGAGTTCGTAGGAGGTCGTGCCCCAACGCTCCCCCACATCAAAGTGCATTTTGGACCCCACGGGAGGGGAACATCCAATCATCTCACACGCCTTTTCACTCTGGCGGGGGTCGGCGGGTTCTTCCTCCTTCCCTTTCTCCCTGCGTATTCCTATCCACTCCTCCTCTTTCGTCCGTTTCCTCACCTCCTTCTTCCCCCTCCTCCTCCTCTGTAGCCACTTTGGCTCAAGGCTAAAGGTTGTGAAGGGCAATAGGCGCCCGAGAATCAGCGTAGCTCTTCTCGAGCTCTGAGGCCCGTAGGGGGCTCCCACTTTCCCCGACCAGTTTCTTCGCACGATCCAGTAGACACGGCGCGCAGGGGCACCAAGAAGGCCGTTAGCAAGAGCCGTAGCGGTGACCGTTCCGACTCTTCTCCGAGGCGCCGCCACAATTTCTCGGACAGCACTCGCAGCAGGCGCCCAACAGGAAGAAGCGTTCCGTCGTCCGCGAGTGAAGCTCGCCGCCATCGCGGCAATCGGTCGCTAGCGCCCACCGAGCCAGGTTTCCCCTCCGCCTCATCCTTGGAGGGCAGGGTTCGCTCCACGCCGAATGTGATGGACGCCGTGCGCGCGATGATGCAGAGTATGGGAGCCAACATCACCGTTTCGATCGACAACAACTCCGCCGCAGTGCAGAGCATGATCGCCCACCATGAGGCCTACATCTTCGACCTGGGCGCCAGGAGCCGGCAGCACCCAGGACACCTTCAACGCCCATCAAGAGCAGATCCAGATCCTCGCGCATCAGTTGCAGATCGCGGCCACCACACGGACTAACAGCACCGCCAGCGAGAGTGGAGCCAGTTCGGGATCAGCGAACACGCGACCGCCCAGCACACGCACGAGCCGCGGGGCGCAGCACGGAGGCACCAACCCGCTGCTCCGCTTCATCGGCACGTCCCCCAGGCCCGTCCACAAGTCCGCACGTGGGGCCCCCTTCCAGGACATCGCGAAAACCCACCCCCACCTCCTGCAGGGGGCCGAGCCGACCTTCCACGCTGTTGCCCAGAACTCCAAGATCCAGTTCCCCCCCCTCGCTATCGCCAAGCAGTTCACCAAGAACGTCAACCCCGCCGTGCCCCAGTGGATCGACCCCAGCAAGTGCGCGGCCCACCAGCTACGAGTTCGCCAGGGCCTGCCCACTGACGCACGCGATCGCCAACGCCAGATCAGCCGCATCTACCAGCCCATTGTGGACATGCCCCACCTTCGCCCCGAGTGGAATCAAGAGCACAAACTGGCGGTCGCATCGTTGCGAAGCTGAACAAGCGAAGCGCCAGCGTAGAGGGGTTCCACGCCTTCCAGGAGGAGGTCAACCTCGGGGTCTCCGCCGGCCGCTTCCGGGCGATCTCCCAGGACGCCGCTGCTGAGGCGGCAGCGGGTCGCCAGGGTGAGTCCACGCGGCTCCCCTGGCGCCTGCGTTCTCGACCAAAACCGAAGTGTCGATCCAAGCTCTTTCATGCGGAATCTCTTCTTCGCTTGTTTTTCAGGCCCTCGGGGCGCGCGAATCGATCGGAAGGGGGGGGCGTCGAGCACCTGAATCGCGAGCTCAAGTCGCGCATGCGCTCCGGGTGCTTTTGCGCGCCACCACCTGCCGGGGGCGACCTGGCATTTCTCTCGAGAGCTTTCCTGAGGCAATGGCAGCGCTGCACCATTGTAGAATTCATGGCGGGCCGCATCACCATTCTGAACATGAGCGGGGAGCTGGGCGCGGTTCAGCTCGCGAATGTGCATGTGGACCCAGAGTGGGGCGCGATGGAGGTCAAGGGGATCTTCGCCAGGCTCGAGGCCGCGCTCGGGGGCCCAGACAGCTCCGCCATCATCGCGTTGGTGATTTCATCTTGTTGGCGATCGGCGAGCCTCTATTGAATGCGAGCGCTGGCCTCGAGGGGCCCACGGCCAACAGATTGGCTTCTATCTTTGCCACCTCGCCCCCCAACCTGATTGAAGCGCAGCAAGTGCAAGATCCCCACCGAGTCAGATGTCCACTGTCCGACTAGATCAGGCCCGCGCGAGGTGGAGCGCCCAGGGCGTGCTTGGCCTGGGGCCGCGCGCAGGGGCCGGATGGGCTACCGCAGATCTCCGACAATCTTCTGACCACGTGCTTGTTGCCCTCCCGGCGGCGCCCCGGGCGCCGGCTGAGATCTGTTGGACCCCGATTTGGATTGCCCGACGCCCTGCGCCAGACAGGTTGCGGAAGAGCCAGCTGTCCCAGACGACTTCGGGCTAGACGCTCGACGAACAGCCCCGGGGCGCCGGGGGCGCGTTTCCAGTTGCCGCGGGGCGAGCGCGCTGCCATATCAACGCCGTCGGCGCCTCGGGCCTGGAGGAGAAGATCGCCTGCGCAGTCGAGCATGCCCACTCTGCTGAACTTGAAGTCGCCTTCTCCGCTGCTCGCGCAAACATCCCGCCTACCCACCCGCTACTTGGCTTGCAAAACTTCTTAGGACCGGCTACGATTACGACGACGCCGACGACAGCGACGACGACGACAACCCGCGACGTCTCCGACGACTTCGACGACGGCGCCGACGACGACGAAGACGACGACGACGCCGACGAAGACGACGACGAGGGAGGAGGAAGGACGACGACGGCGACAACGACGACAACGACGACAACGACGAGGGAGGAGGGAGGACGGCGACGACGCGAACGACGAAGCAGGAGGAAGGACGGCGACGCCGACGACAACAACAATGAGGGAGGAGGGGGGGCGACGACGACAACGACGACGACGGCGACGGCGACGAAATAGGAGGGGCGACGACGAGACGCCGACGCCGGACGACGACGACAACGAGGGTGGAGGACGAAGGACGAGCACGGCGACAGTGACGACGGAAACGACCACGACGCCAACGAGGACGACGACGACGAACACGAGGACAGACAGAGGACGACGTAGGCGACGACGACGCGGGAGGAGATGGGGCGGCGACGACAACGACGAAGACAACGCAAGAGCGCGCGCACGCTTTTGGTGAAAATGCGTGTTGCGGAACCTTAGGTTTTTGTATGTGTTTTGGACGCGCGATTTTGACATCTTTCCGAAACCGCTGGTTTTTGAAGGTTTTCGGCATACGCGCGCGACGACGCGCGCGTCTGCACTCGCTTTTTTCTGTTGCAAAGGATTCTCGCGACGGCACACGCGCAAGGGCGTTCGACAGATTTCGACATGCGCGCGCGAAGCCCATTTAATAGGATTTTGTGAAAATCTTGAAAAACCTATGGTTTTCTTAAATTCGCAAGAGCTCGCGCGGGAGCTTTTTAAAGAACCAGCGTTGCGAAGCTATGTGTTGTTGCATGTGTTTTGGAAACTCGATTGCGAAATCCTTCCGGCACCGAATGTTTTTGAAGGATTTCGGCATGCGCGCGCGACGACGCGCGCGCGCATTCCGCCCCAGCTTGTGCAAGGGATTCGCGAAAAAGTGCGATGCTAGAACAAAAAAATGCCACCGCGTAGTGTTTGCGCAAGGGGGCCTCAGGGGGGGGGCCCGGTTTGGCTGGGATGATACGATTCCATATTTAGGATGGGCGAGTGTGCAGAATGTATATATATATATATATATATACACGAAATCATAATATCCCAGGGGGAGCTGATAATTCGGGGGGGGGGGGGGGGGATTTTTTTAGAAAGGAAAATTCAACGCTTGGACCTCGAGGGCGAGATTTGACGTTCCTGGGGGAGCTTGTGCAGGCGCTTTCTGGGGTGAAGGAGCAGGGTGCGTAGGCGAACGGCGCCGGGGCCCCGCGCGAAGAGAACGCTGCCAGGAACCATGTTCAGATCCAACGGTTTCGCGAGATGGCGCAGGCCTGGAGCCGGCAAGGACGCGAGCTCTGCCTCGCCCGACCCCGAGGGCAACGCTTTCTCTGACGGGCGCGAGCGCGCTAAATTTAGCGGCGTCCAGGTCGACCCCCGGGGCGCCCAGGAGCTGCGCCAGGAGATGGCACCACTGACCAGGCCAGGCATCCTTGGGCGATGTCGCAGGGGCTATTTTTGCAATGCCATCGCTCGCAACCGCGATTCCTCCCCAGTCCCGGGCGGCGCGCCCGACGCTCCGCGGCAGCGCTCGCCGCCCGCGGTCCAGCGCGTGCTTTTCCAGCTGCGCCGACGCCTGGTGGAGGCAGGCCAGCTGCCGAAGGATTTCAATATCTCGCGAGGGGTGTTCCATCCCGAGGACGAGCCTGGCGGGGCCGACGCTGCTGCCCGCGCCCCAGCTTGCGCGCGGCCGGTCGCGCTGTCAAATGCCGACAACAAAATCCCGACAGCGGCCGCGGGTTCCCCCCTGGGGCCGATCGTGTCTGACCTCGATGAAAGTTGTTAACGCGGCTTTGTGAGAGGGCGAAAACTCTCGGACAACCTGTTCGAGACCGACAGCGCCGCGCTGAAGTGAGCCGCGACGGACTCCAACCCGAGGTTCGGAACAGCGCTTTCTAATTTAAAAGCGGCTTTCCCTTGTGGCTCAAGCATGCATCTGGGGAGTGCGCCGCGCCGCGCCGCCTGAGCGCGCGCCGCGCCGCCCAGAGCGCGCGTTCTGATGCGAGGGCGACCGTCAGCACGGGCGGCTGCGAGCCCACCCTTATAACTGTCGCCCGCGCAGTCAGGCAAGGCCGCCCGATCGCTGGCCTGGCATTATGTCAGCGCACCAACCCCGCCCCGACCGAGACTAGGACTGCCGCCCAGGCGCGCTCGCTGATGACATGGCCATCGCGCGCAAGAATGCGGTCGAGCCCCCCCCCCTCCCCCCTAGCCCTCGAGAGATTCACGGACTCCATGTGGGCCACGGGGCTCGTCCTGAACATAAGCGTGCGCTGGTTATCCCTGACGAGAAGTCCCGGGGAGACGCGGCGGAGGTGATGCAGGAGGTGGGGGGTGGGGGGGGGATCAAGAGGTTCCGCATTCGCGCCGATGGGAAATATCCCGGGGTATATACTGGCGCCGGGGGCACAAACGCGCCCTGGACTCAGGTCGCGAACGCCCCGGCCAAAAATTCCTTGTCGAGCATATGGGGGGGGGCTGTCTAATCAATGGTATATCTGCCTGCAATATGCTTGCGCTGCCTGCCGTCAGCCACGTCGCGCAGCGCTGGGGGCCGCCGAAATGGGCGAGGGTCGCAGAGGAGAACCCCTTGCAGCGGTTCGCGCGCGCCACGCGATTCAGCTGCCCGCCCGAAGCCCTATCTCAGCGAAGAGACCTCGGCCACAGTGTTGCGATCCGCAGGCGGGACATTCTAGCCCGCGCGACGCTGCTGAGAGCAGCCGCCCACAGCCCGCGCTTCCATGCCCTGAAAGACGAGATGCAGCAGTTTGCCAATTCAAATGCCTGCAATGTTGCATGGAGGTGCCCCCCTTGGCTTCCCATTTGTTCTCCTTGCAGGTGCGGGGCCAATACCGAGCTTTCGATGGAGTCCGCTTCCCATTGGAGCGCGCCGCTAATCGTGTTCAAGCTAGACGGACCGACATCTTGGAGGATGAGCGTGCTCTTGTAGGCCCGGGTATCCTTCATGTTGTGCGCCCTGGGCTCCTTAAGCTGTAGCCCCGACCGAATCCACCTCGCCGTATTGCGCCTGAGTACCGTTGCCAAACAAGTCCCCGAGTTCATTACCACTGCGACATGCAAATGCATCTTCAATTGATGGAATACCACGAGGGGGCATAGACAGGGGGGCCATACCTGCGGCTTCGGATTCCATACCGTCAGCGGCGACGACCTTCTACATTCTGCCTCGCGCCCCGTACTCAGCCCGATGGTGAAGAAGCTCTGCCGCGGCTGCCAGACGAATGGGGAGGTGATCCTTATCAAGATATGATGCCCTTCCTCTCCCCCTCCCCTCCTGAATATGCGTGCTCGCTTTTGGTTGCCCTGGACCTGATTCGCAGCGCTTATCAGATCGTCAGGGCCTCGACGCAAACCGCGCTTAAACACGATTTAGCGTGTTCTTTTTTTTTGCGCGCGCGACTCAGAGTCGCAGCCAGAAAATGTATCGCCATAGTTTCGCTTGCACGGAAACAGCCGCTGCAAAGCACATTGCCCAGTTTGTTTCCCCCCCTCTCCCCCCGCCGCATACGATTGCGCGATCGGCGACCAGATGATCGACGAGGGCGGCCCCCGCGCCCCGCCGCCGCAGGACTCGGGACCTCCCTCCTCTCCCCCTCTCCGCGGTGCGCCTCCTCCTCCCTCCTCCTCCTCCTCCTCCTCCTCCTCCTCCTCCTCCTCCTTCTCCTCCTCCTCCTCCTCCTCCTCCTCCTCCTCCTCCTCCTCCTCCTCCTCCTCCTCCCCCTCCTACTTGTTGTGGCGAGCCAGGCCCGAACTCTCAGAGCACCACCCCATTTTATCGGCATCGTGTCATGGCGGGCCCTGTATGGCCACGCAGCTCCATCCTCAGAGCGCACTGGCGTGCGCCAGCGCCTGGCCCTCGAAAGCGCAGACTATGCTTGGACGTCCGCCGAAGTAGCGTCGATCAGCGCCGATTCGCATGGGTCAGCAAGATAACCTTGGGGGTCCACGCCAGTTGCCACCGAACCTCCTTGGGGCCTGGCCCCAGGGCGCTGCGCCAGGTCGGCAGCGCGGAGGCGGCCGTGGAGCAGCCCCCGCCTTTCCGCGCGGACGCCGCGGCGCCCCCGCCGCCTCCCACCGGCTTCCGAAGGGGGGAGGGAGGGGGGGGGGGCGGGGCAAGCAGAAGGGGGGGGGCAGGGGGGGAGGCAAAGGAGGGGGGGAGGGACGAGGGCGGGCGGACGGGAATGAGGGGGCGGCGGGATGGAAGGAGGGAAGTGGGAATCGCGGAGAGGCGGCGTTGGCTTCCGCGGGGCCGCTTGCCGGCATGGTCGGCGGGTCCAGCGACGCGGGAAGGGATGGAGTGAGTGGGGCGGGGGGGGGAGGCTGTGATCACGCTCGGCTGTGATAGCGAGGTTGGCCCCTGGGCGATCTTGTCACGTGCGCACTCCACCCGCGATCGTACGGGCCATCTCGAGGGATGCGGACCAGTCGCCCTCTTTGGAGAGGGAAGAGGGAGGAGGAGGAGGAGGAGGAGGAGGAGGAGGAGGGAGGAGGAGGAGGAGGAGGCGGAGGACGAGGAGGACGGGAGGACGAGGAGGACGAGGAGGACGAGGAGGACGAGGAGGAGGAGGAGGAGAGGAGGAGGGAGGATTTAGGAGGAGGAGGAGTAGGAGCAAGGAGGATTGAGGAGGGAGGAAAGAGAGGGAGGGGGGGGGAGGAGGGGGAGGGAGGAGGAGGACGAGGAGGGGAGGAGGAGGAGGAGAGGAGGAGGAGGAGAAAGGAAAAGTGAGGAGGGAGGGACGGGCGATGTGTGGGCAGGAGGGGAGAGGGGTATACATATATGTATTTGTATATATATTATATATATATATATATATATATATATATATATATATTATATATATATATATAAAAAAAAAAAAAAAAAAAAAAAAAAAAAAAAAAAAAAAAAAAAAAAAAAAAAAAAAAAAACGAGAGAGGGGGAGGGAGGGAGGGAGGGAAGTGAGGAGGGAAGAGCCGAGGATGCGCCAACGTGGGTCAGGGCGCGTGGATTAGCGGCGGGTCCCGTTTTGTGCGGAGTCGGCCCGCGCCCTGCGTGGCCTCTTGTTTCTGGGGTCCTGTTTGCGGGGTGCCTTCCCCGATCCGTGCATGTGGTGCCCTCGTGCCAGATCCGCATATCCGTCATCCATGTTGGCGTGTGCCCGAAGGATGGAGAGAGGAGGAGGAGAGAGGAAAGAGAGGAGGAGGCGCATTTCTCGTTTCCTGTCAGGCGCGTCAGAGTCTCAGGCTTTCAGCCCCTTGGTGGCTGTGGCTGTACCTGTGGGAGGTGGAGAGGGAGGCAAGTCTCCGGCCTGTGACCCTGCCGGGCGCGGCCCGCACGCGCCCCCGTGGCCAGGGCGCGCGCGAGAGACACCGAGAAATCGAGGAAGAGGAGGAGGAGGAGGAGGAGGAGGAGGAGGAGGAGGAGGAGGAGGAAGAGGAAGAGGAAGAGGAGGAGGAGGAGGAGGAGGAGGCTCCCCGCACCGATCCGCCCCGACACCCCCAGAGCCCCTCGAGTCATGACACAAATTTCGACGGGGGGGGGTCGTTATGTTCTGCCGTTGGGGGACCGTCAAAACATCGATTCGGGATAAAAGCCGGTCCCGGGGAATGGGTCCAAACCGCTGGGGGTCCACGTCATGAAAAAACATGCCGTCGGGGGTACTTGTGGGCCTCCCCTTGCCGCTTCCTCTCGCCCGCTCCCATGTCCCGTCCCCTCCCACGCCGCGCCACGGGTCTGATTCCCCCCCCCCGCTCCCCACAGTCCCTCCCCGTCCCCCCCCCCCCAGCCCAACCACACCCGGGCTCTGATCCTGGCTTTGCCACTTCCAGGCTCCTGCGGCAGTTTCGCGCCGCAGCGACGCGAGGGCGAGTCTGGCGCGGGCGGTCAAGGCTGAACGACGCCGGTGGGTCAGATCCTGCCGACATCGAGCGACATCTGCCATCGGAAAGCCTGCTGAGGTCTCTCCACGGGTCCTCCCCCAGAATGCAGGCAAGGCGCTGAAAGAAGGACCGCGTGCCGTTAAGTGGGGCGTGTCCCCCTACAGCGGATTTTTCGACGAAAAATAGTAAATACAAAAAACATGTTTCGAAATGCATTTAAAATACTCTAAAAAATCCCCTTACTATTTTTTGACTTTGTTCGAATATCCTCCCTGTAGAGGGACAGGCCCGACGTAAGCTTTGGGTTGGGATAGGGCTGTTCTTAAGCTATTCCGCGGTTGCTCTAGCCCTCCTCGTGATCCCGGGCGTTTCTGGTACCAAACCAGAGGTGGGCGTTGCGTCGCTTAGTGCAACAATCTGACCTTATCGCGTGTGCCTGGGCCCAGCTGAGGCCCCAGAAGGGCCCCGCTCCTTGTCCAAGGCTCCTCGTGGCAGCAGCCTGACCAGAGCCTGGGTTGGGGTATGGATCTTGGCCGTCGAAGATCGATCGATCCTCAGTCCTTGGTCCTGCATCGATTTCGCTTGATCTCCCGGCACCCCTTCCGCTTCGATCCGATCGATCCGATCAATGCCGATTCTGGCCGATACGATCCGACTTCCGATCCGATCCGTCGGGGGTTGCGAGAGGTGCCCCCGGCCCAACGTAGGGTTAGATTTTCGCTCACTGCTTGAGCCCCTGGGGCCCTCTGGGCCTCGCGAGGGGTGCCGTGGAGGCCGTGGGGGCTCCCTGGGATTCCTGTGGGGGCACCTTGGGCCAGGGGCACTTCTGGCCTCACTTCTGTCGGGCCCGTCCCTCCACAGGAGGAATATCAACAAATAGTAAACAAAACAGTCTGGGGACTGTTTTTTGAGCAGTATTTGACCATTTGGGAGCATGTGTTGCGCATCTTGTATTTATCGTCGCAGATCCCCCTGTAGGGGGACACGCCCGACTCCAGGCCACGCCCGGGATCCGCTCCGCTCTGATCTCCCGATGCGGTCCGATCTCCCGGTGCGCTGCCGGCCGCCCCGTCGCTCCACGCCGCGGCCCCGCCGAGGTGCCCGCGGCGCCGCAGCCCTCGCCGCGCAGCGGCGGCAGGGCGGCCCTCCGCAGCCTCGCACCAGCCGCCTTCGCGGCGGCCGCGGAGGAGGAGAGGTTTTGTTTTGTTGCTTATTATTGTTTTTGTCCGCATTATTCTTATTGTTCGCATTATTGTTATTTGATATCATTGAAAAAGTGCTGCTCAGGCCTGCGTGAGGCTCCGTCTCTGAAGCCCCGCCTTCCGTCGGGAGAGTGGCCTCCAGGATGTCATTCCGGATGTCTTCCTCCAGGGCCAGATTGGATCCCAGGTCGCCCAGCACTTTTTTTTGTCGCGCGGAGGTCCGCCGAGAAAATGTCGGACCTAAGAGGGCGCTCCACAGGGAGCAGGCCCCCACTACATTGACAATTTGCACAGTCGTGCTCTAGAGCTCGGATCGCTCGTCCTTTCCCCTGGGCCTCCCCCCGGGTCTCCCTGGCCTCCTCTCTGGGTGGGTGCGCGATCGAGAAGGGGAAGGCCAGGGAGACCCAGGGGCGATGACGAACGACCACTAAGATAAAGGAGAGTAGTTTCTTATGAGAGTAGGAGAGTAGTTTCTTATGAGTTGGAACCCTAACGTCCGTTGCGGTGCGTCGCCCCCCCCCCACCAGCAATGGTACCGAGCCTTCGCGTGGGGGGGGTGCTGATTCCCTCTCAGGTTTGGTTGCCGTGTTCACATGTATGTTGTGGTGATGACGGGCATACTTCGCTTCTCACAAGCATGCTGTGGCGTTCGCAGGCATCTGGTCCGCCGGGAATGCCAGGAATGTAGGGAATGTTGTTTTGCTCCTGCTTTTCCATCTGCTCCCTCCTGTGCTCCTGCTCCTCCGGTGCTCTTCCTGTTGGTCCCCCTGTTGCTCTTCCTGTCCCTCTGGCTGCTCCTCCGACTGGACCTTGTGCTGCACCTGTTGCTGTTCCTCCTGGTGCTGATGCTGCTGCCGCTCCTGCTGCTCCTGCTGCTGTTGCTCCTCCCTTCTCCTGCTGCTCCTCTCTGCTCGTGCTGCTTCTCCTGTTGGTCCTCTGGCTGGCCCTCCTGCTACTCCGCTGCTTTTCCTGATGCTCCTTTCCTGCTCCTCCTGCAGCTGTTCCTGCTGGCCCTCCTCCTCCTCCTTCTCCTTGCATTTGTCAGCATGCAACATGCATGTATGATTTGCCAGGAAGGAAAGATGGAACCAGCATCCAGCTCACCCAGTGCTCTCCAGCGATGCTAACTAGGATGTTTAGCACTGCGTTCCAGGATGCCCATGAGAAGGCTCTGGGGTAGAGGTGGGGGTTGCCTGCTGGGGTGAGGGCTAACCTGGACGTTGTGAAAAAGCTGTTTGAAGGCCAAGGCAGCCAAGTAACTACTGGAAATATCAAACAAGTGTTCAGTGCAAGCAGCTGTGTGTGTGTGATCGTTTGTGGACGGAGCAACTAGCGAATGCTGATGGTTGCTGTACTTCCACGGCTGGCCTCCGTGCATGTGGGGAGCCAGACACGGTGCATCATCGATTGTTTTGTTGTACCTTCCCTGCTGTTTTTCAGGCCCGCGAGGCTCCTGCGTCTTATCCCGAGGAGGCGAGATGTTACCCAGCCAGTGTGGTCCACAGCAAAGGTATCGTCTCGGTGCCCCCAGGGGGTATCCCACCCGTGCTTGGAGCTCCGATTGCTCACGTCTTGAATGGAGATGGGCAGCTGTTTCCCGACCTGGAGCCTGAAGACGTCACAACCGTTGCCGGGGCAGCAGCGAAACTGCACTTGGCGGTCGACGGCAGCAGCACCATGCCGAGTTTGTCGTGTTTTCAGCGTGCTGCCTATGCCGTGCTCCTTGTCGACCCCCAGACCAAAGCCACCTTGTCTGTTGTGCGTGGCACCGTGCTTGGAGGTTTCCCCCAGACCCCCGCCATGGCTGACAACTTTTTGCTCGCCGTCGCTTGTCAAATCGCCGGTCCATGTACCAAAGTGTACGCAGACTGAAATACCGCGATAGCCCAGGCCCTACTACTACTACTACTACTACTACTACTACTACT